GCATATCATCTGTGGTGATTCTGTTTCATTCCTGATATTGGTACTTTGTGTTCTTTCTTTTTTTTCTGGACTGGTCTAGTTAGAGCTTTATCAATTTTATTTACCTTTCCAAATAACTAGCTTTTGTTTTTATTGATTTTCTTTATTTTTCTATTTCACTGATTACTGCTATTATCATATCCTTCCTTTTACTTGCTTCCTAAGATGAAAACAGGTCATTGATTTTACACCTTTCTTGTTTTCTAATATAAGCATTTAGTATATAGGCATTTAAAACTAAAAATCTAAATCTCTGCATTGCTTTAGCTATAGCTCACAAATTTTATGATGTGAGGTTTTTATTACCATTAAAGTTAAAAAGTTTTCTAATTCCCTTCTGATATTTTCTGAATAGTAGATTATTTAGAAGTGTTCTGTTTAATTTCCAAATATTTGGGGCTTTTTGATGTCTTACTGATTTCTATTTTAACTCCATTGTGGTCAGAAAATATGTTTTCTAATATTTCCACATTTTGAAAGCTATTGAGACTTTTTAGTCATTTATGTGACTCTGGGACATTTATTTAAATTTTCCTTAAACCTCTCTTTCCTGATTTCTAAAATGGAGTTGATAATAATTATGACTAAATATACCTACTAAGTAAAGTCATATGTAAAAAGTTCAAATGGTACCTGCTATAGTCAGAACCAAGTTGGTCCTCACATGAATGCTGGGAACTCTGTGACTAAAAGAGTGGATAACAGGCCATTAGGTGCCTCATCTCAGAGACAAGAGCTCTCTCAGCATGCTCTGCTACTCATTGGTAAGGAACCTTCTCTGGCTAGGCACATGCACATGCAGTCCTCTGTTCTTCCTTCTTCCCCAGCTTCTGAGTGTTCCATAAGCCCCATTACTGCCCACGTTCTTAGAAGTCAGAGCAGGAAAGACAGAGAGAAACAGGCTGGGAAGGGGCCTGGGTAGAGCCCTACTTCATTCCAGAACACATAAATGTCAGGTGGAAAGAGATAGAGAGGTCCTCTTGCCCAGCTACCCACCCTCCCCACTGCTATGAGTCCTGCAATCCTTCCATCTTATGTCCACAAAGACTCTCAGGTTTGAAGTAAGTACTCTCTCAAGAGAGGATGCTCAGGGAATCCTATCCCACTCAGGTGTGCACAGATGATGCCATCACTGTGCAAGGATGGTCTGAAGTGACAGAGAACATGAGAGATACAGGGGCCCTGAAGAAAAGAAGGTAATGTGAAATAAGGGAAATCAGAGAATGCCAAGGTCCTAACAACCAGGCCTCCTCAGGGTGGGGTCGCCAGAACAGAGGAAACCAGGAGTTGACTCCAAGGTGCCCTCTACTCCCATAAGCAGCATGCACAAGACCACAAGACACATGCGGTTCTGAGGACCAGAAAAGGAGCATCTCAAAGCATCATCATTTTTATATTTTTGTTAACTTTTAGACTATGTAAAAAAATGTTTTTTTCAGTAGTAAAGAGTTCCTTCCTTAATTTTGTTTGAGTGGAAAATGAAGTGTGTCCACATTGCCAGGATACTGGCCAAAGGGCAGCAGTGGAAGAGGAATAGAGGGAGAGCCCCCACACCAGAAGGCAGTGGGGAAGCAGAGCTGACACTATGGTTGATGACATCTGCATGAGCAGGAGTGGCTTCTTGTCTCCATCCCTTCTCTTCTTCAAGGATATTGTCCCCACCTCAAAGTCACCCATCCTCTCCCATCCACGATCTTTGATTTATATTGTGGGACAGGATCAGAGCTGTGGGGAAGCCCACAGTATGCACAGGAGACTTAGGCAACAGAGCTCCTTCCAGGGAGCAGAGATGGCTTTGCCCTTTGCCTTAATCTCCTCTGAGCAGCTCTGAGCTGACCCAAGTGGCTTGGGTCACATGGTGTGAAGTCACAGTGCAAACTCACATTTGTCTCATTACTCTGTACCACCCCAAAATGCCCTGAAGTCCACATGGATCCATGTTAGACAGGTTTTGAGCAGTGAAACACCCTGGGGAAGTACTTGGCAGGACCAGAGGCAGTCAAGGACCTTGGTGAAGTGTCTGACTGCCTTGGAAGGGGACCAAAGGTTGCACTGCAGTGACAAGAACGGGGTGACAGTGGGAAGAGGAGCAAAGCCAACATGGAGGTCCCACCAGCCCTCTACACAACCATGTTCTGCCTCACACACTCTTAAGCACCTACACATGCCGGCCACTGGCCAGTGCCCAGGCCTCTGGAGCTCACTGTTAGGAGAGAGACAGACATAGGAACCCTCTAAACTGTAATGTGGAGAGTACTGAATCAAAGTCAGGACAGGGCTGTTGAAGCTCAGAGAGAAGCACCACTGGCAGTCTGCTTGGCAATGGGTCCGGGAGTCTTCTTGGAGGAGTAGACATAGGGGTCAGGCCCAGAAGGAGAAGAGGTTCAATCAGTCAGTCAAGGAGGGCAGGGAGAAACCTTTAAGCAAAGGAAGCAGCTTTTTAGAAAAGCAGAGAGCAGAGAGTTTGCTGATCTGATCTTCTCCCTGGCAGTGATGCTACACCAGGGCTCTGGGCTGCAGCACCCCCCAGAGGCCTGCCCTCTCTCAGTTTGCTCTACCCCTGAGGCTTCCCCTTACAGGCCACATCTGCCAAGATGGTGCTGTAGCCATTCCATGCCCAGCTGGGAGCTTCAAACGCAAGAAGGAGACATCCCACCCCAACACCAGCTTCTGCTCAGAAGGTCAGTTCTGAATTCTGTCTGCTACTTGCTCAATGGGAAGAGTGATTTGCTGACTTTGCTAATTAGGTGCTCATCCAAAGGCTAAAAGACACTGACTTCATGATGCAGATTACTGCTAGTAGGATGTCCAGGCCCTGATGGGGGTGAACATCAGGAAAGCCACACTCAGAGGCCCCATTAGGCCCCCAGGTTTGGGTGTCTGTGCTTAGCTGGGAAAATCAGGACTTGTGCAGGAAGTTCAAAGGCAGCCCACATTGTTCAACATAAAGTGTAAAGGACCTGTGGCTCATAATTCCCTCTGAGCTTCAGAAATCAACTAAGTGGCTTGGGTCACACAGCGTGAAGTCCCAAACTCACATTTGTCTCATTACTCTGTATCACCCCAAAATGCCCTGAAGTCCACATGGATGGATGCTGTACAAGTTTTAGAAGCAAGAGAAAGGAAAAAAAAAAAAAAAAAAAAAGCAAGAGAAAGAAACACCAGGGAAAAACTCCTCACAGCCTCTATTTTGCCCAGTTCTGAGGCTGTTAACTAGAAACAGGACTGAGTCCTTGGTAAACGGTTCGAGGAAACAGATTTCTGTGACAGAGTCTCTCAGCTACTTTTCTGTGATACTCTTTTTTTTCTCTCTCTCTCTCTCTTTTTTTAAATTTCTTTTCAGCGTAACAGTATTCATTGTTTTTGTACCACACCCAGTGCTCCACGCTATACGTGCCCTCCTTAATATCCACCACCTGGCTCCTCCAACCTCCCACTCCCCCACCCCCCCAACCCCGCCCCTTCAAAACCCTCAGGCTGTTTTTCAAAGTCCATAGTCTCTCATGGTTCAAGTGATGTTCTGAAGCTACCAACTCCCTGGGCTATTCCTCAGAGCCATACGGAAAGCACGTTCCCCACTCAGTGTCGATGCTCCCTCTGCAGGCCAGGCCAAGGCCAGCACCCATTGGAGGCCAGCCTCTGGAGGACAGGGCCAAGCTGGGCACTCAGGGGAGACAGCTGGGTAGGAAGGACCCATTTCCTCCACAAGTCCCAGGAGATGGAGAGCAAGGCGCAAAAGTGTCAGCCGCACCACCCGTGGTCAGACACTAACTCCCCTAACCAGGAGCCTAAGTTCCTACTGGAGGGCAGAGTAAGGGCAGCAGTCATCCCACGCTGGGACAGAGCCACAGACATGGCAGGGAACACATGGCAGCCTCCAAGAATAATCAATGTAGGTCTGATGTGAGTCAGAGCAGCCTGAAACTTTCATTTCTCCCAGGGGTGTTGAAACTGTGATGCTGTGACGTTGAAAGGACTCACTGAAAACTGCCATGTGCCCAGTGCTGTGCGGGGCTCTGTCACATTGTACACTGCTGTCACAGAAAGCTTGGGAAGCTGTGTGGTTGTGATTCCACTCTATAGAAAGGAAAATGGGAGATAGAGAAATGGGGAAGCTCCCTATCGCAGCCGTCTATGGGCTGTGCCACTGAGGCAGTGGGGGCTCCCTGGAACCGGCAGCACTGAGAGCAAGGCCACTAGTGTCTGCATGGAGGGAAAAAGAGCCCCCACTCAGCACCTCGGTAAATAGGGATGATAGCTCTGCTTCCTGCACTCCCAGGCCCATGGGATGATCAGGTCCACAAGGTCCTGGCAAGTATTCACTGCTTTTCTTTTGAAGCCAGCAGCCCAGTCCTTCAGAGAGAACTAGAGTGACTAGGGCTGTTCTGTCCCCAGTTCTCAGCCAGTGTCTGCAGTGCCCAGCAGGATACTTCTGTCCCACCGGAGCCACCCACCCCATCCCGTGCCAGCCAGGCACATTTAGCCCGAATCCAGGCCAGGATGAAGCCACAGACTACATTCTATGCCCAGCAGGCAAGGCTTGTACTCAGGCTGGACTGACTCAGCCAGATGCAACCTGCACACCGGGGTAAGGATCTATGACTCCTATGACTTCTCAATGATAGAGGTGACTGTGTTGGGGCTCAGGGTGCTACCACCATTCAAGAGTCAGACCCTCAGGTACAGGTGAGGCTTCGGCAAACATCTGTCCCCCTCAGTGCCCTGGGAGGGCCCCTGCCTCCAGATCAGGGCTCAGTGTCACTCCAGCCTAGGGCTCCTGGACACTCCCCAGGAGTACTGGGGCTTGAGCATGAGCAGGAAGCAGCTAGGTGACTCCTGGCTTTGCATGGGAAGAAAGGAGCACGGGGAGATTACTGTGCCAAAGTCACAGGCCAGCAGGCACACATTTGATTGTCCAGGCTATTGGGCTCTGTCCAGTAGGTACTCCCTGGTTGTCATAGGTATGCGTGCCCTGTGGGCTCCTCCAGCCCCCATGCTCCCACCCACGCCTGCCCGCCTGGGACATTCAGCAGCCGCAACAACCTCTCAGACCCGTCACAGTGTGAGATCTGCCCTTCAGGACTAGCTTGTCCGAGGGGTGAGTGAAAATGGGGAAACACAACCCTGCTACCTGTTAGACCCTGCCTTTGGGTGAAAAGCCATCTCCGCTCTGAGGCAGGAAGGCCAGGAAAATAGACCCTGACTCATAGCCGCTTGTTTGCCCACGAAGATCATGGTTCACCTTACCTTAGGGATGGGACTACAAAGATCATTCTGAGTTCCCACCCTGTTGCTTCAAGTAGCTTCTGGGCCCCTGCTGACCTAGATGCCCTTTTCCCCAGTGCTCGGGCCTAGCCCACACCCCTGCCACCTCCCAGAGGGAGGTAGCTGGGGCGGGGGGGCTGCTGTTCCTCCAGGTCTAGTTCAGGATTGTGTTTACAGGAACTGGGAGTCCAAACTGGCCCCCCATCCCCTGCCCAGCTGACCATTATTGTCCTCTGGGCACCAAACAGCCGACCCAGTTCCAGTGTCCCCCAGGTACCTGGAGTAGCCAGACCGGACTGACAGCTGTTGAGGAGTGTGCGCCCTGTCCCCGGGGCTGGTTCTGTAGCGGTGGCACCCAGCTGCCTTCAGGGACGTGCAAAGCTGGGCATTACTGCCCCCAAGGTGAGTGGGGCCTGGTTCTTCCCTGCAAGGGCACAGGTTAGTGCCAGGAAAGGCATGGGCCAGCCCAAGGTCAGATTTCAGGAGAATCTTCCTGAGAGGAGGACCAGGACTGGTGAGCTACTGAGCATCCTGACTGTGGATTCACAGTGTGTCTCAGCCCAGACATGTCTGATCCTGGGTGAGTGGTATCCCCTGCTCCCTGCCCCTTCCCTCGTAGCCTCTATTGGAGAACTATCTGTAGGGAGTAGGGTGAGAAGCTTCAGTGCCTTGGTAATGCAGCTCTGACCTCCCTCTTTCCTTCTGAGACCCCTTTCCTTCTCTCTAAAACAGGTACAATGTGGGGCACTCAGTTCCCTTGCCCAGCAGGCACCTACAGCTCTCAAGCAGGCAATGGCCAGGTGGAAGACTGTCTCCTCTGTCCCCCAGGGGCCTTCTGCCCCAGTGGTGCCCCCAAGCCTATCCTCTGCCCACGGTAAGGAAGGCTAAGGGGTATGGCTGCTCTCAAAGTTCCCACATGTTTATTAAGTACAGGCTGGAGCCCAGCGCTGTCCCAGGCACCCAGGGGTTTATAAAGAGACATGAGGGCCCAGCCTGCCTCAGGACCTGGCAGCTTTATTGGGACAGGGTGTAGGATCAGCACTGGCAAGGGCCAGGGCTCAGGGATGCAGCATGGAGAGTTGGAATGGGACCTACTCCACTCCCCAGGGCCCTAGATATTGAAAGAGAGACAACTGACTTGGATGGAGTTGGTGAGGAAGTGCCCACACCCCAGTGGAGAAGCTGCTTCAGAACAGCGCACCTCAAGGGCCAAACGTTCTGGAATTTAGTCCCAGCTGAAGTCGGAGTAGGTATCATTTGGCCCAGGCTCTGGGGTCCTCTGTTGATTTGACTGCTTTATGAAGATATGCCCTTAATTACTCTGGTCAAAAAGTAAAACTTAAAAGCATTTTTCTTATTTTAAAAAAGTAATATACGTTCTTTGTGAAAAAAGTGAAAATAACAGAAATCAAAATAAGTAGATTTCAGGTCAAATACAGATTTCAATGTAAAAAAATTATAAAATTAAGTAACAAAGTATAAATGAGCATTTATAAAATCTGAGAGAATGGAAAATCTAAGCATGATATGAAAGGCAGAACTAATTGAGGAAAAGACCACAGTATATGAAGGCAGTTATTTCAAGCTTATGTTCTTCATCAGCATCATGGACAAAGTTAAAAGATAAACAATAAAGCAGGGAGATAAAAGATAAACAATAAAGCAGTATGAATGTCAGGTCCAACATCCATCTACTTACTACCTTATTATATAAGGGCCATTATAAATCAGTTCAAATAAGACAAAGAGAGAGAGAAAGATCAAGAGACACAACAGACCACAGCAGCAGAAAAACATAAGCGAAGTAGAGGAACAGAAAACTTTTTGTTTGTGTTTAAGTTTTTAATTAAATCCAATTAGTTAACATATTGTGTAATATTAGTTTCAGGTGTACAATATAGTGATTCAACACTTCCTTACAACACTCTGTGCTCATCACAAGTGCCCTCCTTAATCCCCATCACGCGTTTAATCCATCCCCTCTCCCACCTCCCCTCTGGTACCCATCATTGTCTTCTCTATAGTTAAGAGTGTCTTTCTTGGTTTGCATCTCTGTCTTCTTTTTTCTCCTCTGCTCATGTGTTTTGTTTTTTAAATTCCACATATGGGTGAGATCATATGGTATTTGTCTTTCTCCGACTGATTTATTTTGCTTAACATAATACTCTCTAGCTCTATTCATGTCATTGCAAATGGCAAGAGTCAATTTTTTTATGGCTGAGTAATACTAATATTCCATCATATATATAGATATATATGGGATATACAGATATAGATATAGATATATAAATATATATATCACATCTTCTTTATCAATCAATGGATATTTGGACTGTTCCTACAATTTGGCTATTACAGATAATGTTCATAACATTGGGGTGCATGTATCTCTTTGAATCGCTATTTTTTTCTCCTTTGGACAAATACCTAATAGTACAATTGCTGGGTCATTGGGCAGTTCTATTTTTAACTTTTTGAAGGACCTCCATGCTGTTTTCCAAAGTGGCTATACCAATTTGCATTCCTGCCAATGGTGCAAGAGTGTTCCTTTTTCTCCACATCCTCACCAACACCTATTGTTTCTTTTGTTGATTTTAGCCATTCTGACAGGTGTGAGGTGGTATCTCAAGGTGATTTTTGATTTGTGTGTCCCTGGTGATCAGTGATGATGAGCATCTTTTCATGTGTCTGTTGGCATCTCTTGTCTTCTTCAGAAAAATATCTATTCGTGTCTTCTGCCCATTTTTAATTGAATTATTTGGGTTTCGGTGTGTTGAGCTTTATAAGTTCTTTATATATTTTGGATACTAGCCCTTTATCAGATATGTAATTTGCAAACTTGTAATAGAAGCACAGTTAGCCCATAAGCCTGGTTTTAAAATATCTCTCAATGCACTGCCCCACCTAGGCCACATTTAGGGCCACACCAACCACATCTTTGGCATGATCCAGGGGCTTACAGCCAGGATGGGCCTTGAAATCCTGAGGGTAAGCCTGGGGGCAGGAGAGGTCTCCTGCCTTCCCACCAGTGGTGACCCCAGGAAGGTTGTGGGCACCCACACTCCTCACTTTCTGCTTCTCCTCCAGGGGAACCTCCCGCCAGAGTCCAGGCGCAAGACTGGCTGTGGCCTGTGTCCTATGCCCTATAGGTCACCACTGCCCTGAGCCAGGCACTGCCACTCCACTGCCGTGTGGTGCTGGCAGCTTCTCTGTAAGTGTTCCCAGAACAGACTCCATCCCTTAGAGGGCCCAGAAGTGGGAGGATCCTAAGGTCAGGGAGGTGGGAAGATGGCTGGGGGAAATGGCCAGTACAGCCTCTGTCCCTGGCTCCCTTCCTCCAGGCATTGATGACCTGGAGACTGAGGCAGATGCTCAGAGAGCACCTCCATTTTACTGGCATCTTCCTGGCTCTGAACCCTTCCCGTGCCCTGACCTCCTCAGAAAGAGAGGCACACACAGACCCTGAAGTCCCAGGCAGCAGCTGTCCCAATTCAATTCTACATGTATTCTGCCAGGTCTGGCCCAAGGGTTAGAGGGGTGGAAAGAAACCAACCTTATTGCCTATTGCCAATCCCCCTTGCAGGGTCCAGGCCACCTCTGGTGCCAGGAGTGTCCAGAAGGAAAGCTCTGCAACCAGACAAAGCTGGCTAGTCCCGCATGTTCACCTGGGCACTACTGCCCAGCTGGGGGCCTGCTGTCCATCCCCTGTCCCATGGTGAGAAGCTCCCCTCAGCCCTCCTGGCATCTCTTCACTTTTGTCTGCAAGGCTCTGGAACCATCAACCCTGTACCCCAGCCCTGCCTGGTTGGGATGGAGGATGCTCCTTCACTGTGACATGGCCATATGTTAGCCCTCTGCCACCTGCCCCACGCAGATTAGGAGCACTGGACTACCCCCCTTTCTTGAGGCTGGTTTCTGATAGTGGTGCTAGACCAGAGGTCACATGGGACAAATCAACCCAGGCTTGTTTGGGGGGTAGGGTACAACACAGGAAGAAGCAGGGAGGAGCTCCAGAGCTAGGAAACTGAGGCTCAGGTGGAGCTCCCAGCAGGGGTGGGGGTTGGGGGGACAGTCTTTTTTCTCCAGCCTCCATCCTCCAATTACCCCATTCCCTACTCTAGCCATGGCTTCCTCTCCCCAAGATACACACACCTCTTCAAAGGACCTGGTGTCCTCTATTTTCTCTTTCTGCCTGCTATCAAAATTTGCTGTGAATTTCCAACATTCTTCCCTGGGTGGATGTCTTGCCATCAAACACTTTTGGCCTATCAAAAGCGAAATCCCACTCATTCTTAGGAGTGTCTCAGAGGCTCAGTTCTTTAAGTAGGCCATCTCCTCCCCACAAGCCCTGTCTGTCCAGGGTGAGGGTAGAGGCACCCTGCTCTGCTCCCTTCCTGGCAGAGCAGCCAGCCTGGCCAGCCCTGGAACTCCACTCTGGCCTTCAGGCTCTTGACCTCAGTAGCATCCTTCTCTCTGCCCAGGGTACTTTCCGAGAGGCCCCAGGGGCGGCTCGTGTGGAAGACTGCCAGCTGTGCCGCCCTGGGACCTTCTGCGGTAGAACAGGCCTGGCCAAGCCCCAGGGGCTGTGCAGTCCTGGGTATCACTGTGGGCCTGGTTCCAACACCTCCTCTCCGGTGAGTGCAGACCCTCCTGGGCCTCACAGAGGCAAGACTGGCCTAAGCTCAGAGGCCTGGACCAGGGTCGGGGGACACCAGCATCTATCTTTAGGGCCCACTGCCTAGTCGGGTGACAGAGTACCCCCAGGAAGATGGGATGAAACCACTGCAGAAACAAAGTTGGAAGAACCACAAGCATTAAATACAGCCTATAAAAATGAGAAAGGGCAAAAGTATCTAATGTCAGTTTCCAGCTTCCACCTCAAAAGGCACCAAATACAAATAAGTCATGAGCTAGGGAAAGGCACAGCAGGGCTGATAATTAAAACAAATGAAGCAAAGCCATTTCTGTACAATATGTATCTATTAGTCATCAAAAGTCAACACACCCGTCCTAAGAAGACACTGCTAAGGGATAGAGTCCACTTCCATGGGCCGCACCTGGGGCCAGGCTGCTGGGCAACTATCGCAAGGCATGTAACAAGGGTCTTAAGGCAGTTCATGACCTTTGATCCCATAGCTTCCACGTGGGAAAAAACATGAAAGGAAAAAAAGTCATGTATTTAAAGATGGTAGAGATGTGTAAAACACCACACATTTTAATAGCAAAAACAAAACACAAAGGAAATACCTAGGCACAGACATGGCATAGCAGCCCCATGGGATACTAGGTAACCACTAACAATGACAAGTAGGTATACTGTTGACACACAGATGACTGAGAGATGATAGAGTAAGATGACAGACAAGTCAAGCTGTGTAGCAGCACTTAACCCGCAAATAAGCAGAGAAGTGGGATTATTGAGGCTATTTAACATTAAAATTTGTTTCATTTTTCTGAAAGCACTTCCTGGAGGGAGGTGTAAGTGCAGGTTGCTATGAGTAACTGAGCCGGAGAGGCTGGCTGAGTGAGACAGTCTTCCTCAGAGAGGGGTTCAGAAGGACTAGGAGGGAGCCCAGTGGAGAGGACCCCCTTGTTCTTAACTTTAAAGCTACAACAGGACCCTCTTTCTCCAGGAGGGCCTCCCCTTTGGTGACCTCTGCCCTGCTGGCCATTTCTGCCCCCCTGGCACCAAGGACGCCAGGCAGAAGCCCTGCCCAATCGGCACTTGGAATGTAAAGAGAGGGGCACAGGACCTGAGCTGGTGTCTTCCCTGCCCGCCTGGGTTCTTCTGTGCTGCAGCAGGCCAGGCTGCCCCCACGGGCCCATGTGCACCAGATGAGGGTGCCCACCTCTCCCTCAATGTCCTGGCAGGAGGAGAGGTAGTCAGGCCCGCCACCTGGGCTCTGGCCCTAGGGCCCTCGGCTCCTGAGGCAGACATATTAGAGAGAACCTAGGGGAAGTGTGTCCAGGTCATTGAGGCTGGGCTTGGCCAAAATAGGAGGGAGGCAGGCTGGAAGCTACTGAGCGGGACTTCCAAATGTGGTGGAAATGCACACAACTTTTAGATTGTCCCAGCCCCTGAGGCCTAGATGAGGCGGAAGGAGAAAGAGAAGAAAGGTCATGTCTGAGGGAGGGCAGTAATATTCCAGAGGCTAAGGAAGAGACTCTTGCCTGATTAGCCAAGAAAGGCCCAGAGATAGTCATTAAGAAGGCCTACCGCCTTGTCTGGGATATGACTTCCCCCCAAGGGCCTCCAGGTTGTGGGGCTCCATGTACAACAGAATATCCATGGGCTCACTGGGGAGTAAAGTTTAGGCCCAGACAGATGAGAGGTAGGCACTCTGCTCTGCTATCCTGCCACCTACCTCAGATGTTCATTCAGAGAGACCTAAATTAATAGCTCATCGGGGACATCCACAGTGCCTGATCCCTTCAAAGCTGTTGTTAGTTGGGCAGGACCCTCATGGATGCGAAGGCAAGAAGCCGGGTTCCAGCACCGTAAAACAGAGCAGACTATGTGCTTTCTCTGCTTCCAGGATATTACTGCCCAGGAGGGGCATGGATGCCGAGACCTCTCAGTGGCCCATGGGGAGACCTTGGCCCTGTGGGCCACATCTGCACTGAAGGCTTGCTGGAGGCTTCATCTCAGCCAGATGGGCAGCACAACAATAGATCAGGTATTTGCCTGGCTCAGGAACCATCTATGACATAGGCAGGCAGGGCCACAAGATGACACAATGGCTTTACTTTCCAGGCCAAGAGAGCCACCAGGAGAGGACCTGTTCCCCTGGTCCTTACTGCCCCCAGGGCATTGGCCACTTCCCCTTGCCCTGCCCCCACGTCACGCCCAGTCCATTGCAGGGCTGGCCATGTTTTGCAGGTGAGGAGACAGAAGGGGGCAGTTGGGGTATCTCCTGGGGAGACAGATAAAAGCTGTATTTTGGGGCCTGAGGAGCAATAGGTCACTGGAAACCTCTCCCTGCTGGCCTGCAATACAGGAGGCCCTGTGAATAGTGGTCAAGGACAGGGACTTTGGGCTGTGCAGAAGCCCAGTGCACCACTCCTTGCTGTGGGTGGGAAATCACTTAAATCAGGTTCTTCATGTGCCTGATAGGAATACAGAGTATAGAAATTTGTAAGACTGAGGTAAAAAATAAGACAGAGCATGGCAAGGACAGTAAATGAATGTTTACCTTGACTGAGGCTAAGAAGTGGCCAGAACACAGGAGAACAGATTCTATGAAGGAGACAAAGGGCTTAGCATGGACTGGGTAAGTGAGGACATACACTCGGTAACCCTCGTGTCTTTGGCACAGAAGTGACAGGATGGGACTGGGCATCCTGCAGGGCAGGCAGAGTAGGGACTTCATTTGACACCCCTCTTCAGAGGGTGGGAGTATTGCAGTGTCTGTGGTGCACAGTCTGTGGCTGTATTCATGTCCCTGGGGCAGCATCAGGAGACCTTCCGGGCAGGGTAAGTTAAGTGTGGAGCTAAATAAGGACAACCATAAGTCACAAGTCGTGGAACCTCCAGGCTGGCGGAACCTCAGCGAACAGGACTCCCTCCATGTCCTTCTTCCAATGATGAGGTTGGGCCTGGCTGGTGGAGTGACCCATCCAAGGCCTGCTGCGGTCTGGTGTCTCCCAAGGCTCTGTCATCATGACAGTGGCATCACCCGTGAGGGTTCTCCAGACCATGGCGGCACTCCAACACTGCACTGTGGGATGAGCACAAGCCCAGCACCTCTACCGCACCTGTGGATCCAGGGGTGACCCAGGGATGAGATCATGGGGCCCAGAGGCTGACAGAAACATTCCCCAGCCCCAGCACTCCTGTCCCAAGAAGGCCCATCAAAGTACACTGTTCATCCTCCCCTTGTTACATCAGTATCCTTAGGGTTGTGGAGACAACTCTCATGCAAGCTTTAAGAACGCAGATGTTTAAAAATGTTACTCTGCCTTTTTCCCCACTGGAGGCTACCTGTTTCAGAAGTATGACATGAAGCTGTGCAGCACTCCATGTTTCCTACACTCACACCCATGTACGCAGGCACACGCACACACGTTTCCATAGGCAAATCCGCCAGTTTATAGGCAGTTACAAAAATGGGATCTCACACTATAATTTCTTTTCTCTTCTCCTACCTTTACGAGAGCCCTCTTCTTCTTAGAGTTTATCTTCAGCATTTTATGTGCTCTGTGAGCTAACCTTAAGGGGACATAATGGTACAAATAGAAGTGACAAACTTGGCCAAGCTGGAAACAGGTTTCCAAAACAGATGTCACAAAGGCCTGTGTTCAATGACCTAGGCTCTCCTTCTCAAGCTAGATACAAAGCCCCCAGTTTTCTCGTTCTGTCCTGTGCCCACCTTTTTCCAGGATAGACAAATGCTGTGGGATTTGTGGGATTTGTACTTTCTCCCCAACTTTGGGTCCGCCTAGATAACTTCCGATTAATTTGGAAAGGGTCACATCTCAGGACCCCAGCCCCACACCTGAGACCCCACCCACTGCCCCAGCAGGGAGCCAGGACTGGACAGAACCCTGGACTTGAGCTGCCTGGGCATTCAAGGGTGATGGTACTCTAGCTTTTAATCTCTACTGCTTTATTTCAGAAACTGCTCTCTTCAGAGGGTGGACAATGTGGGGACTGCTGAGTGAGTGGCTTTGGGTTGGGGAGGAGCTGCTTTGTGATCTCACCCACTTCTGACTTTGGGCAGGAGATGAAGTCACCCACCTGGAGAGATGCATCCATGCCATGGCAGGGGGGCCCTGTCCTCCAGGCCACTTCTGTCCAGTGGGCACAGGGGTGCCCCTGCCCTGCCCTGTGGGCACCTTCTCAGATCGGTGAGTGCTACTGTCTCCAGGCCCATGGGGTGAGCCCAGAGCTGTCTTCCTCCTGGTCTTCCTTCTACACTGACCATCTCCCTAGCAACATCTCTCCACCACAGAGGAGCATGAGGCCTTACAGAGCAGGACTCCCACCTGGCCTGTGACCAGCAGAGGAGGAACAGAGAGGTTGCTGGCCAGAATGAGGGCAGGTAACATGGGCTGCTGGGAGCTTGAGAACATTCATGCCTAAGAAAGCAAAGCCATTAAGAATCCTGTGCACCTGCCCAAGTCTCATTTGAGAGTAGAGCCCCACCGCCCCACCTTTAGGAACCTCCCAGCCTCCAAGAGAAGGTACCCAGAGCAGTGGGACAGCTATGGAGTCAGTGGCTGAAGGGCTGTTGTATGTTCTGCCTATTGCTGCCAGACCAAAAGTCTGTGGCCCAGGACAGCCTGAGTTTGAATTGGGATTAAGATGGAAAAGAATGGGGCACCTGGGCGGCTCAGCTCATTAAGCATCTGACTTCAGCTCAGGTAATGATCCCAGAATCCCAAGATCGGGGCCCTTGGGCTCCCTTCTCAGCAGGGAGTCTCCTTCTCTCTCTCCCTCTGACCCTCCCCGCCACTTGTGCTCTTTCTATCTCGCTCTCTCTCTCTCTCTCAAAAATCAAAGCTTTAAAAAAAAAAAAAGATGGAAAAGGACAACTATACCCAGGTTTCTATGTTGGGGAGTGGCAGGGGAAGAAATAGAGAGACCTGTCACACTCTCCTTTAGGCATCTGTCAGACTGTGCCATGGATGCAGGAAGAATCCCAGGGAACCTGAAGAAGGAGATGCAAAGCAGCTCCAGAAATGTGTGTCTCTTGCCAGGATGCTCTTCCTGGTCCCACTGATGCCCAGGTTTCTCTCTGTCTTCCCAGGATGCTTCTCTCCATGGCGTCAGAGTGCCTGTCCTGCCCCCCTGGCTATTTCTGTGGTGCATCTGGACTCACTGCTCCCTCTGGACCCTGTTCCCCTGGCTACTTCTGTCTGGAAAGAGCCTCCTCCCCAATCCCAGCAGGTACAGAGTCTCTCAGGATGGGCATGGGCCCTGCATTGGCCCAATGCCAGAGGTAGATGGGCACTCTGATTATGAGAAGTGACTGGTTGTGGGGCAGTTTAAGGACAGAGGGGGAGGGTGTGAGCAAGCAGGGCCTGGAAACGATCCTCTGCCAGCATGTTTCAAGGTCTGACCACTATTTCTGGACATGCTGGCTTCCTGTCCTTGTGCCCGCAATAGCATTTCCCACAGTTGGCTCACTGCCTCTGAACTGTGGTCATTGGGCTTTTGTCACATCTGTGTTTCCAAGCCCACCTCAGCCCCACCCAACCTCCTCAGTCAGAACCCCACTGACCCAAATACGGAAATGTCATAGATTTTCAGGGATGTGAGCAGGGAAACCTGGGGGCTTCTGGAGACCAGCCAGCAGGTTCCAGAATGGTAGCCTGTGGGTACCAAGAGGTGAGTTGAGTGTGGTTCTCAGCTCTCATGCGGGCTGGAGACAACATCTTTTGGGGAGGTGGAGTGCAAGATGAGCTCCCAGGGAAGACTCTCTCCATCCATGTTCTCAGAGGATGCTCTCTATTCCCTGGGGACATCTGAAGGGGGAGGGAGGGCAGTATGCACACCACACTGAGCTGCAGCTTTGGTGAGGGCCATTGCACCAGAGCCAGGGCCCTTAAACTCCCTCTTCTCAAGAACTTCCATCTGAGGCAAAAATCCAGCTCCCAGATTGAGGGTTAGGTTCAGGGGAGTTGGGTGGGCAGTAAGAGAGCAGGGACTTGGTGGGGATTATAGGAGGCACAGGGGCTGCTAGGCCAGGATAATTCACTGAAAAGAGAACCAGCCATTCTTGTTTATTACAACTACACATGAAATCAATGATTTCTAAATCCATTTTATTGGAAAATAAACAATCGCATTGTGTATCCTCAAAAGAAAAAAAAAATCAAAGATTTTTGTCCAAAAATGGACAAAGCACAGAGAGATGTTGGCCACACACAGCAATCACCATGCCAGGACACCATCCCCAGTAAAGCTGGATCATTAGTTCTGCCCACCTATGAAAGAGGGATTTTTGAGGCTCCAGTAATATAACATATGTATTAACCGCATGCTGTTCAATCTGGAAGATGCTGTACAAGTGTTATTTATCAACGTTCTTTCTTTCTAAAACCCTGGAACCCCTGCCCCAAGCCCAAGTCCACGTTTGGTCCCAGTGGCACTGCCCAAGTCACCCCAGGCTCCAGCCTGCTCAGTAGTGACCAGGCCTGCATTCCTCACTCAGCTTCCTTCCTTTTCTCAGGCCATTCACATCAGGGGGGGCCCTGTCCCCGAAGCCACTTCTGCCCCAGTGGAACCAGCCACCCTCAGCCTTGTCCTGCTGGCTCCTATAGCAACCTGACCAGCCGAGCCTCCTGCTTCCCCTGCCCTGCCGGCTACTACTGCCCTGAGAACATCACCACCTACAGCGGGCACCCCTGCCCTGCCGGCTTCTACTGCCCCAGAGGTGAGTGCCTGGGCCACAGCTTGAAGAGGCAAGGCCAGTAGCAGGAGGCTGGTACAGGTGCCCGGGGGTGAGATGGGGCTTGGGGCTTGCTGCCTGGGAAACAACAGCGACTAAGGATCACGCAGATGTAATCACTCTGCTTCTGAGACATTCCCACGACCTGTCCCAAAGGCCCAGGGAAGGACTGGATCCTTCACGCTGGCTGAGCCCAAAGCAGCTGGCTTGAGCTGCAAATTTCATGTCTTTAGCTTTACCTTTAAAATTATGAGAGTTTTACTTTCTGTTCCATAACATAATCTGTTGGCTAAAAAATAAAGGTTTAAAATTACTAATCCTACAAATTTTGGGCCACGTGCTTTTCAATAGAGTTAACCATCAAGAAGAAGAGTCCTGCATAGTCTATGGCTTTGTGGACTCTGGGCCTGGGAACACACAGCCTAGGAAGCCCAATATAAGCAGCTGGTGAGGGAGGGGCTCCTGTGACTCAGGCCAGAAGTTTGCCACAACAGGCCCTGCCAAGGAGCTCCAGGAGCAGCAAGCAGCAGGGCCTCCCTCCCCAGCCTTGGGCCAGCTGGACTCCCTCCTCTGAACTTTGCTTTTTAGGCACCAAATACGCCACACAGTTCCCCTGCCCTCGGGGCTACTACAACCCAGACCCACTGACCCAGAGCCTGGACAGCTGCCTGCCTTGTCCCCCAGGCCACTACTGTGGGCAAGAGAATCTGACCCAGGCCTCTGGGTGCTGTGATGCAGGTGTGTTTCCCAAAACTCCCTAAGAAGCTCCCACCTACCCCCTACTCCCGTGTTTCCTACTTCTGAACCTGGACCTGGGGTGATCCAGACTATCTCCTGGAACAGCTACTGGGAGGGGTAGGCCTGCAGTCTGGGTGAGCTCAGCCTTTGATACCCACCCCTACCCCACCAGCCTGGTCACTACTAACCCTCCTGCCCCATGGCCTACCTTTCTGTGCTCGTCTCCACCCCAGGCTGGTTCTGCGTATCAGCAGCCTGGACCTCCCGCCCCTTCGACTTAGACAACTACACCAGCACCAATTGCCTGTGCCCAGCCACGGCTACAGGGGGGAAGTGCCCATCTGGATCCTTTTGCCCCGAGGGTACCCCAGAACCCATACCCTGCCCACCGGGCTCTTTCTGCGCCACCTCTGGTAAGAATCCAGGAAACCTCTCTGGCTGCTGCACTGTGACCCAGGCTTGGAGATGGTGAGAGAACTGATAGGAACCCCAACCTTCTCCCCAGCCTTGTGAGTGCAGACATGAACCCCTCTTTCCCTCCGTAAACGGGAACTGATGCCTGCACCTGCCTAATGGGATGGTGGGCTTGGCATGCTCACAGGCCAGTCTGTGCTGACATAAACTTGCTGCTGTCATGGTTGAGGGAGCATAGGTGGGTCATCACAGAATAGCATGGGAAGGGCAGGTCTCTCTTCAGAAGGAGAGGCTTGGTAGCCCCTCCCTCATGCCCTTTCACTGGTCTCCATGTCTAAGTGACTTCCTGAGCACCTACTGTGACTCAGTGCTATTGGTCACTGGGGACCCAGATGTGAACCAGACTCTTCCCGCCCCAGCTTTCAACCACTCTCAGATGGTAGAACACAGTGAGGCCAAGACCCCAGCCTATGCACAGATCTCAGCTCTGCTACTACTGGCAATGCCTCGGGCCCTCTGTGGGATGAGAGTGGTACCTATACCATGAGGCTGGGTAGAGAAGAGAATGAGATGGAGCACTCCACATAGGCTCAGCCACTGCTGTGACTCTCAATCCTCTGGGTCCTGACACTGCACGAGGACCCTCGTCTATCTGCATAACGAGTCTACTCAGCCCCATCCCGGCACCCCCTCTCACCTCCAGGACTGTCCACTCCCAGCGGGCCCTGTCAGGCTGGCTACTTCTGTGCTGAAGGAGCAGAGTCCCCAGCTCCAGAGGACGGGCTGACAGGGGCCCCCTGCCCCCCAGGAACCTTCTGCCGTGAGTGTCTCCAGGGGCCCCACTCTCAGCCCAATGTGCCCTCCCGCCCAGAAGTCTGCTAAGAGATCACAATGATCACATTCCTCAGTTTTTGTCTGGACCCTGGGGCACCTGGGAAGAGGCCAGAGGGAAAAGGTGTGCCATGCATGGTCCAGCCAACAGCCAAGGGGTATTGCAGAGGGGCATGGTTAACATACACTTGGGGTGTTTGCTGTGGTTCGAATTGTTTAGTATGAACAGAAGTCAGTGGTCATGTCACACTAGGATTCTCATTAGCTGTCAGTGGTATGAGCCCTGATGAGGTAATTCCGGCTACAAGTGAAGGGCTGGGGTCCCTGTGTGTCATCGAGGGGCAAGGGAGCCAGGCTTCAGGGATGTTGGCAGAGGCAGATCTTACAGTCAACACCATGGTGGGCCCTGACCCACCTCACAGGCTGGGCCCACACCTGCTGCCTTGAGATCCTACTCCCTGGACCTGTGGCGTCCCCTTAGCCAGGCCATGCTGCCTCCCTGTGTCCTCAGCTGCAGCATCACACAGGCCAACACCATGTCCTGCGGGTACCTTCTCCAGCCTTCCAGAGCAGACCATGCCCTCTGCGTGCCAGGTCTGCCCACGAAGCTTCTACTGCAAGGAGGCTGGTCTCCAGGCCCCCAGCGGGCAGTGCCCAGCAGGTGAGAGGCAGTAAAGATCTTCAGGTGCCAGCAAAGGGGACAAGGCCAGGAGGGAGAGCTCCACAAGGGCAGCTGTCTGGATCCTGAGCTCCACGGCACGGTCCTTGAGACAGGAAACCTGCTATGACCAACTGCCTTCATGGAGGGGATAGTTCTCCTGAGTGTCCCTCACTCCTGGCCAGGTTATTACTGCGACTCAAGTGCTGGGCCTATCCAAGACTTCAGCCTATATCCTTGTCCTCAAGGCTATTTCTGTCCCCTGGGCACAGCCGTGGCCACACTCCACCGGTGCCCAGTGGGTACTTATGGCCCTCGGAGGGGACTAAGGAGCATCACTGAATGCCAGCTGTGTCCCGCTGGGAAATTCTGTGCACTGGCAGGGCTCATGGCACCAACAGGTATGTCCTGGAGGGCAGAAAAAGAGTCAGGCGGTGGGTAGGCCTGACTGGCGGGTCCCAGAGCAGGCTGAGGAGGAGATGCACTGGGGAGAAACTACATGGACCTGGATCACTGGTAAAAATGGGGGCAGAGCAGCAGAATTTGTTGGACAAAGATTCCCCTACCTTCCCAAGACCCCTTCCATCAGGAACACTGTGTTTCCCCACCCCACCCTCGAAAGTCAGGAAATGTGAGATGGGGCCTCGGTGTCTAGTTTTAAAAGAACTTTCCAGGTGGGGACGCCTGGGTGGCTCAGTTGGTTAAGCCACTGCCTTTGGCTCAGGTCATGATCCCAGGGTCCTGGGATTGAGTCCCGCATCAGGCTCCTTGCTCAGTGGGGAGCCTGCTTCTCTCTCTGCCTCTGCCTGCCGCTCTGCCTGCTTGCGCTCTTTCTCTCTCTGACAAATAAATAAATAAATAAAATCTTTAAAAAAAAAAAAAAAAAGCTTTCCAGGTGATCTGATATCACCACGAATTGGGAGTCACTTCATCAAGGTATGCATGTCTCAAAGTAGAACCACACCCCAGCTGCCCATGTCAGCACTGAGTCCCCACCAACACCGTGGGCAGGGGCCCTTGTACGGGGTCTTTAGCATCTCTGCCCCCAACCCCCCACGCCCTGTTAGCTGATTTGTGTAGGGGGAAAAAGGAGGGTGTCACTTTCTTGGATGTTGGGTGGCTTCCCTGTGAAATGGCTGGAAGTGTTTTGATCCATAAGGAAAATCTGGGCCTGGCAGTTGGCAGTCTCTGAGGAGGGCAAATCTCAGACTTGCCCAGACCTCACAGTCTCTTTGACCTGGAAACTTGGTACTGACTAAACCTGGAGGAGATTCAGGATCCTGCTTGTCCCAGGGTCCGGGCTGCTCAGGCTGGTTTTGGGTCAGGAATTCCTGTAGTCTGTGGCCATAGTGGGGCAGGGTGTGGGGACAGCATGAGCAGCCCTGTGCCTTGTGCTGTGTTCTCCAGCAAGGGGTGCAGTGGGCAGGGCTGACAAGGTATCCTTTCTTCTAGGAGACTGTGCTGCAGGACACTGGTGTAAGGGAGGAGCGACCAGCAAGGACCCCACTGATGGGACACAAGGCCTCCTCTGCCCTGCTGGGCACTACTGCCTAGAGGGTACTTCACTGCCTCTGGGGCTACTCCAACCATGAAAGGGCAGAAGGAGATCAAGTCCCTTCCAGCTCTCTACTGTTGAAGGCTGGTCTCTACGGGTTTTAAGCCGTTCTCCCTGCACACAAGCCATAGCCCTAAATGGAGGACAGTGTTAAGCTATGCAGGGCCGAGCACAGGACCCTTCTCCCCACATGCCCTCCCCACTCTGTTCAACAGTCCCTTCCCCTCCCAAGAACCCTCCCCTAACCTGGAACTCAGGAAGCCTCACTTGAAGTATTGACCTTCCTCCTTTGCCCTGATGATGCTTTCAGGGCCTTGTTATTCCTCCTCCACTTGGGTACTCCCTTGCAGAATGGCAAGTGTCTTCCTTTCATTCAGTGAAGTTGATTCCAGGACTCCAAGCTGAATTGTCCCTGTCCTCTGGATGCTGAGAGGGGGAAGCATTTCCACACTGGTCTGCACAGAGGGAAAAATCCAAGGGGTGGGAGCCTAATTCAGTTCAATGTCTCCCCCTGGGGCCTCTTTCCTCTGTTGCTTTGACTTCTGCAGGAGCTCCTGTCCCCACCCAATGCCCACCTGGTACCTGGTCTGAGGAAGGGAACAGAACCCCAGAAGGATGTCAAGATTGCTCTGGAGGGAGACTCTGCTCTGGCGGCCACCTGCCAATCTGGCTGGCACCCTGCTACCCAGGGTGGGCAAACACAGCCACATGGAGTTGAGGGAACAGTGTCTACAGAGAGGATTTGGTTCCATTCCAGGATCCAGACCCATCCAGAGAACTAGGGGAAGAAATACCAAAAGTCAGGAAGGGGCAACCCCCACTGACCTGCAGGGCCTGTGGGCCACTTGCAGACTTGGGGAGGTTAAGTCATGCCAGGATTCAGGAAGGAGCAGGCTCGCAAGTGTCCAAGGAGTATGCTTAAGGACCATTCACTGCCTGTGGCTGTGTGCCTCTGGGCGACTCCCCTTGACTGAGGCTCCCTTTTGTTTGGCCCCCATTCTTCCAGCATTTCCTGCACTAGCGGAACTGTCGCTACCACCCCCGTGGAGGGGCTCTTTGGGAGATCCTGTCCCTCTGGGCATTTCTGTCCTCTGGAAATGGCTGACCCCTCTCTGTGTCCTCCTGGCTCCTATGCCTCTGGTACCCACACAGCAAAATGTTACATCTGTCCCAGTGGCCACTACTGTGTTCCAGGGTTGAGGCCACAGCTGTGTCCAAGAGGTTAGTTTCCTGCCAAGAGCCTGGCTCACTAAGCAAAGGGTCCAAAGCAAAAGGGAGGAGTGGGCAGAGCAGTTAACATGCCTGTTAACTTAAGGCCTGAGCTAGCTATTCTGATAATAAGGTAGTAACTTCTGGATTTACAGAGCATTTCTACTTCCTGGCAGGAGCCCCACAGCAGAGATGCCAGGCCTCCATGCTGGACTCTAACCCAGCGCCCAGAGCCTGCCCTCTGCCATCTTCCTCCCCCACCCCTGCTTCCTCAGGCTTTAATCTCAGCCCTGATCCCTGCACAGGTTTCTACTGCCCTGAAGGGACAGGGCTTAACTGGCAGCCCTGCCCCCCGGGCACCTATGGCCCCGTGCTGGGACTGAGTAGCCTGCCAGGATGTCAAGCCTGTGACGGAGGCAAGTTCTGCCCCAGGGCCAATGCTACAGAAGCCGGCGGACAGTGCTGGGAAGGTTTCTTCTGCTCCAGAGGATCCACCCGGCCTAATCCAGAGGCCGGCACTGAAGGTACCAGGCCCTCCCTGCTGGACACTGATCCCCTGTTTCCCACCAACCAGGAGGTAGGAGACAGATTCAGAGCCCTCCATCCACTCTGTCAACCAGAGAGACCAATGAGTCTATTCTGTCCAAGAGAATTGGGGTACCCAACCTGGGCCACCTGTGTTCCTGGGCTCTCATTCATGGGAGAGCAGGACACTGGTCCGCAGCATGCATAGCACTTCGGCATTTGTCTCCACTACCTACTATCCCTCCTCAGCAGGACACCCCAAGAACTCCTATGTCCCACACAGGCCAGACTGAGGGCCAACACCAAAGCAGACCTGAGAAAGCTCACCTTAGGGGTCATTGAAAAGTCCTCTTCAGCTGAGCCATGCTTTAGAGTCACCTGGCACATACTGACTGATATGGGGTTGGTGGGAGGGCCAGGCCATCAGATCAGAGTGTTGAGAGTGAGGCTCAGCCCAGGTATGGTCAATATGTTAGCCCTCCCAAGTGGTTCTCATTGTATAGCTGAGGGATCATTCCAGTGGTTTTATCTTCTGGGGCTCAAGTCGTTTTTGGAATCCAGGGACCACAGGGCATGATCTAGTACAATGCTTGTTTCTGTCAGAAGGGAAACTGAGGCTCAGGAAGAGAGTGTGCTTTGCCTAAGGACACACAGTCAGTAGCCAATTTGAGTGCCCAGGCCCACTGGCCCAGGCCCAGTTCAGCTCTCTGCCACGCCGCAGCTGCCCTCGGGCCCTGAGAGTCATACCGTCCTCAGGGAGGCCCAGACACTGGTGAGGTCACTGTCTAATGCACAGCTCATCCCTCCAGCTCCTGACCTGCCAGCTACAATAGCCTCCTCTGCAATAGCCCAGATCTGGCTGGTTCCCATCTTCAGTCACCAAGCAGCCATGGTGGCAGGCCTCTTGGAACAGGGCCTGTGTAGGTGGAGGGAGAGGAGAGAAGACATAGCTAGGCATCTCCAGAAACTAGAAAAAATGTTAAAATACTGGGGCATCTGGGTGGCTCAGTGGGTTAAAGCCTCTGCCTTCAGCTTGGGTCATGATCTCAGGGTCCTGGGATCGAGCCCCTCATCAGGCTCTCTGCTTGGCGGGGAGCCTGCTTCCTCCTCTTTACCTCTCTGCCTGCCTCTCTGCCTACTTGTGATCTGTCTGTCAAATAAATAAATAAAATCTTTAAAAATAAAATAAAATACCAACCAGCGTGGGAAGATCTACAAAGGCTTCTACAGAAAGAGCTGGGATGGTGATAGAAACTTTGCCTCAGTCTCAAATGCTGTCTGCCTATCCCCTAGACCTTGGCACTTGAAACTTCCAGAGAGGCCCTGCCTCCCTCAGGTGCCCTGCCTCCCTTCCAGATGCCACCACCCCATGTCAGGAACAGCTTCCCCGATCTCTTCCCTTCTGTAACAGCAACACAGGGCTCTGCTGGAATAGCCAGGTGCAGAGGGTGAGACCTGCAAAAGAGACTCGCAGCCCAATTCCAGGGCCCAGAGACTGTACCAGTGATGCAGAGGAAGTTCTTCAGAATACCTGCCACTCACCATACATTTCTTGGTTCCAGAGGAGGCTGGCCCATGTCCTCAAGGACACTACTGTCCCAGGGGTTCAGCCGTGCCCCAGCCCTGTCCACCTGGCACCTTCAGCGCACACACCAAGCTCAGCTCAGAGGTAGGGAGACCCCAGCCCAGGAGGAGGCTGGGTGTGGGCACTGTCTGGATCTAGCCAAGCCGTACTGCCCTTGAGGTCAAACAGGGATTGGAGAAGAGGGCCACATGGCTAGCTTCTCCTTCCTGGGGGACTACAGTCACTTTCCCAGGGAGATCTTCCTTGGCCCTCCTTAGCACATATCATAGTCTGCCATACCATTTTTTTACTGGCCTTATTTATTTTCTCTATTCCCCACTAAAATATAAGCACCACAAAGCTAGGGAGTTTTGTCTTTTGTTCCTGTGTCAGAATAGTGCCCAGCACATAGCCGCTTCCAGCACCTGCCTGTGGGCTATGCGTATGACTGTACACGCTGACTTTGGAAACACAGGGAGCAGCAACTGCCTCCCCAACCCTGTGTGGCCGGTGCATGTTGGGGGTTGCCGGGAGCACAAGGAGGGTACTCAGGGAGGGTGGGCTGGAGGGAGGTTGGAGAGGGAAGGAGGAGCCAGCCATGTAGCACCCTGGGCTCCCCTTGAGGACCTGAGTAAGATAGAGGCCAAAGCAAGGTTTGAGCAAAGGAGTGACCTGAAACATTACTTTATAATACATATTAATATATAATTCATAAAGGGCCACCAGAGGATGCACAAAATTCTATTTAAATTGCCAGATTCCAAAAGCAACTTTAATATCTGGTTCTATTCACAAGCACCTCCAAATCACGGTTTGTAGTTCACTATTCAGAGGCCCTCCTATTGTGAAAGGAATATTCCTGACTTGTCATAAGCCCCAAAATCCCCAGTGCTCTGGAGTGCTTGGTCCTCCACACTCGAATGAGCAGAAAGGGCTTCCCTGGAGGTAGATCGAAGGATAGGCTTCCCCTGGTGTGACTGGTCAAACTATGAAAGGACACTGAGGTAGAGAGGAAAAAAAGAAAGCAGGCAGAACAAGCTGCTGATGGAGTAGTTTGGAGCATTAAGCCTTTGTGTGCCTCCCCCGCCCCGACCCCACCCCGGGAGAATGTGCAAGTAGAGGGGAGTGAGTAGCCATCAGGGGTGCCGTGGATGGAGGAAGGTGAACCAGGACAAGCTGTTCTGGGACCTGAGGCCCCTTTCAGGTCTCCTGATGCAGTCGCTGCTTCCCTGCCCCGGATAGAGCTGGGGGTTGGCATCTTAATGGGGGCATTTCCTGCAGGCTGCCTGCTCCCCGTGCCCACCTGGCCACTACTGCAGATCAGCGGGTCTCACCAGCCCTTCTGGGCCCTGCAGCACAGGCTTCTTCTGCCGCCACGGGGCCCTCGTTCCCAACGGCTCCCTAGGAGAAGAGACCAGTGGCCCTTGCCCTGCAGGTACCTCTGGGGGCTGGTCTGAGGAGGAGCCTTAGAAGGTGGGAAGGGAGCAAGCCCCAAGGCCACCACTCAGACAAGACTCCAGGGTCCCCTGGCCCTATAGGAACTGGGTTTAGGCTGGGAGCACTCTGAGAGCCTGAAAGTGGTGTTTCCTGTGGACCTGACCTGTCGGACCTGCTTCCCTTTCAGGGCACTTTTGTCCCCCAGGCACTGTTACCCCCAGGCCCTGCCCAGCAGGCACCTACAACAGGCTGGCCGCCCAGGGCCACTGTGAGTCTTGTCCTGAGGGGTGAGTGCTGAGAGGCCATCCTGGGGGCTCACGTGTCCGGCCTTGCAGGGTGTGCTTTCCTGCTATAGGACGTGCCCGGACCAGATGCTTGTGAAGACCCCTTTCAACTTGATTTTGCTGTGACTTTTAAAAAAGTTCTCTGTAGAACTGCCACATCTTCTAGCCACGCTTCTTGATCTCTTTATTGGGTATCATTCCTAATTTCAAACCTGAGGCTCTTTTGCTCAAATTCAAGCCATTTAAGTACCCCACCCCCCCACCTCCACTCACCCCGGGGCCTTGAGCTGTAGCAGAGCTATGTCCCCAGCAGATCAATAACTCCTGAGGCCGACGATAAAAGGTGAACCTGGGCAGCCATCTTTGCCCTGCTCCATGCTGGTGGGGTCACCAAGCCCTGTGAACCCCCACTCCCCACTTGTCTTTTCTGTAGTTTCTTCTGCCCGTCAAACACCTCCTCTGTGGTGGGGAATGAGTGTCCTGCAGGCCATTACTGCCCAGCCTCCACGTCCTTTGCTTCTCAGTTCCCCTGCCCCCGAGGCACCTACAGGCCACAGAGAGGGGGTGTCCAGCAGTCAGACTGCACTCTCTGTGATCCAGGTAAGGGGATAGGGACATACCTCCACCCCAGCCATACTAGGCCCCATCCTCCCTGACCATGGAGGGCAGGTGACCACAGACAGCAATGTACATCTGCTGGCTGGGGTGGGAAGTGCCCCAATCTCTCTCCTCCCCATGATTAGGGATCCTATCTTTCCCTCTCTCCTATAGGCTCCTACTGCCTCCTGCCTGGGCTGGTGGCTGTATCTGGGCCTTGCAGGGCAGGGTTCCACTGCATTCAAGCAGCAGCTGTCCCCAGCCCCACTGATGGAATCACAGGAGACCTCTGTCCTCCAGGCCACTTTTGTCCCAAAGGCAGCCCCAGACCCACTCCATGCCCTCCAGGTAAGTTACCGATGTGGGGTGGGGGGCACCAGCAGGGCAAGGGTGTGCTCTGGGCCCTTGAGAAGAGAAAGGAGTAGAGGTCCAGCCTTGGGAAGATATCTTAGGAAGGGCAGAGAAGAAACCCCCCAAACTGTACTTAAAGAGCAATGTCCATCCTGCATCCACATCGCTTGGGGCTTCAGGGTAGAATGATGAATGAGGTGACATAGAGCTTGGGCCCAGGCTCTCTGGGGAGAGGGGGTACTCGAACATGGAGGTGGTGTATGGCAGAGGCACCGCAAGAAATGAGTGAGGCCTTGCAGCAAAGATGGGGGGATGAGATGCACTTCAGCTTTGTCAGGTCCCAGACCACCATGTGGTGAGGCAGCCCAGGAGGCTGAGGAGCCCTTCAGCGCCTAGTCTGTGAAGCTAAGCAGGCAGAGCAGGGCCACAGCTCTCCAGTCTGAGAGGCACCACCTTGGGTTTCCATCTGGGAGAGGGGCCCCCTGACGGTAGCTATGGAGTGTGTATCTGCAGGCTCTCTCCTGCCCATCCCTGGGGCCATGTCTCAGGAGGACTGCCAGCCATGCCCAGGTGGCTGGTTCTGCTCCAGGGCTGGCCTGAGCTTCCCAGAAGCCCCATGCAAAGGAGGCTGGTTCTGCCCCAGGGCCTCTGTCTCTGGGCACAGTCCAGGTAAGAGTGGACCTCCTCGACATTTGGGTAGGGGTAGGGTACTATGGGAGTCCCAGTGGGCCAGACTGGAAAGAAGACATGCTTGTGGGCTCTCCCTCTGTATTCAGGTTCTTGAGGCCCAACTGTAGTGAGACAGGCCCTCTTGACCTGGAACCTGCCGTGGAAGGGACTGAAAACACCAAGGGTTAGCAAAGCTCCTCATGAGCCTAATGCACAGAAAGGGAGATGGAAGATGCATGGGATGAGTGGTGAGAAAAGGAAGAAACAAGAAGCATTTTTTAAAAATCAGTCAAAATGGGGAATCCCATGCTTGGGGGGAAAGCTGTATAAGAAACTATAATAAGGGAGCAGGAAGGGTCTTCCTCCTCATGTGCTACCCGGGGTCCAGCAGAGAATGGGTAGAAGCTCAGACTCCAAAGACAAGGGTGCATTAGAAATCCATTTGGCAGAGGGGGCACACTTCTGTCTTCTGGGTCCTTTGTTCTCAGCTGAGAACAAAGAACAGGTTGGTTTTGAGATGTATGTAATTATACTAGAGTTTTTAATTATACATCAGTTTTGAGATGCTTGTAATTATACTAAAAGTTTAAAGCAGATTCCCTTTTTTTTTTTATAAAAATGTATTGAAAGTTGGCTCTATCACTACATTATTCAGTTGCATTCTGACATTCTTTCCTGCAATAAAGAAAAGCACGGTGAAGTCACCCCTGGTTCCTAGGAATCATGCCCGGCCCTGAGAACCTTTAACAAGTGTGCTGTGCAAGGGAAGGTCAGCCACTGAATAGAAAAAAAGGATCTGGCCAGGACACAATCTTTGCAGATCCACACAATTGTCACCAGAATACCAATCAGAGAGATTTGGAAGGACATTAAAGAAACCCTCCTAGGAGTAGGGATCACACCTGCAGGGCCCAGGCCAGCTGTGAATGCAAATGCATGAAGAGACCACAGTGCACATCAGGGCTCAAGGAAAGCTGCAAATCCAGGCAACTAAGTTTAAAAAATTATATTTCAGTGCAAGCCAAGTGAAGCTCCACTGCAGGCAGATCCAGCCTGCAGACCACTTGGCCTATGATCTCCATTCTAAGGCAGTCTTCCAACCAGCAGTCACTGAGACGGTTTGTCAGGCACTGTCTGTAGAAAGCCAAGAGATTCCAGTGCCCTGCTCTCACCAAGCTTACAACCTGATAGCATTTCAGTGGGAAGGGGCTCCTCACCAAACAGGGAGGCTCCCTCTCATATTGCAGCTCTTAGGAGGGATACCCCTACACCGTCCTCCCTGGGAGATCTGATCTTAGCATGGACAAAGCCCCAACCCAGAGCACAACCTAATTAGGACCACATCTCCAAAAAATGCATCAACTATCCCCAGAAATTTAAAAAGTCCATACATAAAAGGAAAAAAGAGTTTCAACTCTTCATCCTGAGGAGTACAGGTTTCTGATCCTGTTCCATCTCTTCCCGTGGTCTCTCTCCTAAACTAGCTCCCTTGCAACCCGCATCTCATGCCTTCACTAATCCAAGGCCAGTGGAAAACTGAGATCATGAACATGGACAGGTTTCCTAATGCTTGTTAGTGCTCTGTATGATGAAGAGCACAGGTTGTCTCCAGAGGACTTAGTTGACACAGCATTTCCCAAACTTACATCCCAAAGAGTCTATGACTTGAAGAATATTTCACAGGACTAGGACCCCTGGGAACACCGTTGGTGAGAGATGTTCTGACCTGGGAGCCTGGGGCTGCCTCAGGTAACTTATGAGGTTCCCAGTTTCAACACCCAATCTGTGGAGAGCACTGTCCCTCACCCCACTCAGCCCTGTCACTACAGATCTCACTTCTTCCCACAAGAGGCCAACAGGAGGTTCCTACGTGGACCTTCCACACAGAGCTGGATTTCAGCTGGAGTGTCCCTCTAGGTGTCGGTGGGGCTAAAGTATAAGGGGCCAAACCCAGGAGAGTCACACATCAGAAGCACCATGAATCACACCGCATCCCCTCAACCACACTTGCCTAGAGGGAGTAAGAATTGTTGTGGGCTCTGGCTGGGAGATGGGGAGTCTCCCAAGAGGAAATAATTATCTCTGGTGGTTTTCTAGGGACTCTCTGCCCTGTTGGGCACTCATGCCCCCCAGGCAGCCTGGAACCCCAGCTCTGCCCCCCAGGGCAGTATCAGGATGAACCTGGACAGAGCCTCTGCAAGATATGCCCGGCTGGAAAGTGAGGAGGTGTTGCTGGGGCTGGGGTTCCTTCTTTATCTGGGTGACACCTGACCTGTCCTGCCCTCTCTGAAGCTAGAGGGACTCAGCCATGTTGCAGGGACCAGTGACCACAGGCCTTCCAGGAACCCTTGCCCTTCAGAGCACAATGTAATTAAAACCCTAATGCCAATGCAGGGGGCTTGAAGAGCTGTAGGTTTCAAGTACAAGACCCGTGAGGAAAGAGGCTATTGTCCATCTTGATGTCCATTTCCTCTGACCTCAGATGGTCTGGGGGGTGGTTTGTTTCTGCCCAAATCCTCTGTGCTCCAGGAGCTTCCTTCCCCTAGAGGACCCTCACTGTCTAGAAAACCTAGGGATACAGAAGGCCCTGGCTGTCATTGCTGACCACCTACTGGCTGTTTCCACAGGTTCTGTTCCTTCAGGATCCAGAGACCAGGCGCCAGGCCTACTTGGCCAGTGAACTGTCCTCCAGGCTACTACTGCCCTTTGGGTACCTGGAGCCCCACCCAGCACCCATGTCCCAGGGGCACCTTCCGAGAATGGCCTGGCGCATGCAGTGCTAAGGATTGTAGGCCTTGTCCTGCAGGACAGTTCTGCTCAGATTCAGGTGACAAGAGCCAATTCTCTGGGACTTTGCAGGGTCCTTAACTGATCCGTTTATTCCAGAGTCATTCAGCCTGCATGCGGGTAACATCATAGTTTCCCTCCCATCACATATGACCTGCAGCTCTATATAGGGGACATTGCCTGAGGCCTGAACACGGGGATGGATAGAGAAGGCAAAGGTGACCTGACCCTGACCCCTGAGAATTGACAGCGGGGAAGGGGATAGAAAAAGACAACCAAGAACGTGAATATCCCAGCACAAGCACACTGATTTCTGGCAGACAAGACACTCCAGCTGTCCTGGAGTTGGGGGGACATTGATCCCACAGGGGTTGAGACTTCATGGAGCCCTTGCAGGCTTTGAAGTTAGTGGCCTTGTTCAGGAAGCAGGGGCTTCTGTCCAGAATGGCAGGGGACAGGACTTCAGGGAGACCCTGCCAGAGCTGAGCCTAAGAATGAGAGGGTAGACATAGCAGTACCACAGTGGAAAGAGAAGGAGGACAAAGTATGGTGTGTCTTTGTCCATTGTAGTTGTCTACCACATTCATGTATAGATCACCTAGAACCAGATATGGTAGGGCAGTAAACAGGCTGGTGCACAGTGCTGGGAAGCAGAAGAAGGGAGGTATGAATTCCCATAAATGGTCCCCCAGGGACCCCCTAGGAGCATGTGTCTGTGTCACACCATAAAAAGGCTGAGGATGTGAGGCTTTGGCCCATCACCTGCAGCCAGGGCAGAAGAGCCCTGCACACCTCCAACAACCACAACAGAGCCTCTACTTCTAGGTTCCTAAGTCAGCACTCTCTCACCTTGGCTCTACATGATCCCATGGGATGTGACCAGACAGGCCTTTTAACTCACTTATCCTCAGAATAAGGCTGTTATTTTGCAGATGAAAAACCTAAGTTGAGAAAGGCCTCCTGCAAAGCTGCACAGGGAGAGAGCCCCGAGCATGAGGGGACGTGGGGTCTGGCTACAAAGCCTGGCACCTTGAGCCTCAGGGCACACTGCATTTCCAAGCTTAGGCATAGCTCCGGACATACTTCCAGGTCCCTTTTCTCCTTTTCCATCTCATTGGCAGCCAGGCCCACCATCGTGGACTCAGCATGCCTCCACCCCTTCTCCACAGGGTCCGGAAAACCCTTCCCAGATGGGCTATGCTCACCAGGTTATTATTGTCCTCCTGGCCAGACTTCAGCCACCCCTACGTCTTTCCGGTGCCCCCGTGGCTTCTACTGTCCAGAGGGATCTCCCCAGCCAAGGGCCTGCGAGAACGGAATATTCCAGCCCCAGGAGGCCAAGGGGTCTTGTGAGCCATGCCCTGCAGGATTCTACTGTGAAGCCTCAGGCACAGGTAGGCTCACTGGGGCTGAACACAAGGCCCCCATGTGGTGCTAGGTCCCAGGGTGAGGTGCTGGTAGTTCGAGCCCCTGTAGAAGTGATGCCTACTTGACAAGGAAGAGGTCACCTCCCTTCTAAAAGGTTGGGGGGAGGGCAGGGACTAACAGTGAATTGGCTCAGTGCAAAAGGAGACCCCTGGTATCTCCCTTATGTCCTCCTTTAGATTTGGCTTTAGAAGGTACCTCAGGAATTCTTATGTCAGAAGCTTGGTTGTCATTGTCATAGTATTACGATCCACATGCATCCCTTGACAACTGACAGTAGAGTGGAGGGAAGGGGACACCGAAACCAGCCAGGTACAAGGAAAGGACATGTCAGGAAGAGGCACTGCATGACGACTCATACCCTGGCATACCCTGTGCCAAGCTCAGGACAATAGGCACCAGATGCAGGACAGGACAGTCTGAGGTCTAGGACCCGAGGATCTAGGTGGCTGTGGCCTGACTCAGTTTTCCCAAGGTATATTCTGCACACTTGAGGTCATGACAGGGCCTTGGTCGTGTTTAGAGATACATGGGTGGCTACTGGCCTGGCAGAGAGGCCATAGCAAGGCAGTGGTGTCTGCAGGCCAACATGTCCAGCAGGGACGAGTGCCACCTTCTGGAGAAAGCGAGCTTTACGCTCAACAGATAGCCTCAAGGCTGGAGATCTCTGGAGCCCACAGAGGTCTCCTGGGTAGCCATTGAGGGTCCCTCTCCAAGCCAACATGCCCAGAAATTGGACAAAGAATCAAGAACATTGACTGAGGACCTGGGCCAGGCCAGCTTCAGAGCCTGGGGTCCCGTCTCTGACCAGGATGCTCAGAAGGTAGGGATCCCACGGCAAGCTCAGGCTAACCCTGCCATTGCCCTCTAGGTCCCACGGCTGGTGGCCCCAACCTGTGCCTCCAGGGCTACTTCTGTCCCCCCGGCTCCCATTCAGCCAAGGCCAACCTGTGCCCTCGGGGGACATTTGGGCCCAGGCGAGGGGCCAGTGCAGAGCTGGACTGTGAGTTGTGCCCAGCAGGTTGGTGGACTCAGGGTCACAGGCCCTTGGGAAGCCTCGACTAAAGGGCTGAGAAGAGAATGAAGAGAAATAGAAGAAGGGCAATCAAACGAGTCCATGAGGGAATGTGCCTTGACCCCTTGGACCTGTACTGTCATGGCAGCCCCTCTCAAGTCTAACAATTGGGGCAAGGAAAACAAAGTCACGTTCAAATATGGGCCCGGGCCCCACTGACCTACAGGCCCACAGCTCCCACCATCTTTTGGATTCTCCAGGCCTCCTCATACCCTGTGGCCCAGCCCACCCCACATGTAGCTCTAGGGCTCAGGCAAGACCAGACCCATGTTTTCTTCAGAGACCAGGGCTTGCTGGAGAGAAATTACTGCCTGGTCAGGGCAGATCCATGTCTCCCTAGCTCATTCTGCCCCTCACTCCATGTATTCTGCCTGGCCATCCTGCCAACACCTTGTGCTAGTCTGAAAGCCGAGGGAGGGAGGAGCTGGTCAGGCACAGCCCAAGAGAGACAGGGCTGGTGCCAGAGCCAGTGGGTCTGCTTCTTCTAGGGATGTTCTGCTCATCAGAAGGGCTGTCCCAGCCATCAGGGCTCTGCCACGCGGCCTACTACTGCACAGGAGGAGCAGTGTCTCCCACCCCCCTCAGACACAAGGTATGTAACGCTGGGCATGGCCCCCCAAGACGTGTATCTGAGCCTACCTGCAACACCCCTGGGGTACTGGACCACAGAGCTGGCCAGTGGCTCCTACTAGGCTGAGGGTCGAGTGCCCTGAGGGCAGGACCATTCTCACCTCTGTGTCACCAGGGCCTAGTGTAGGACCCACCCTGTGATAGCTTATTTCAGTGATTCTAAGATGTGTATCTTTTTCACATTTAACATCTCTAAAATCAACAGTGTCTTCTAATCCATGGCATCTGTAAGCCACGGTGGCAGTGACCTTTTTCTTTTAAGTCATTCGCCTTCCAGGTGTGACTCCTGGGGTTTGATGGCATGTAACGATAACAGCAGTAACATAAACAGAGGCTTTATTCAGTGCTGGCCAACATGCTTGTTCTGTGTCCATAGTGATCCGGCAGTTCTCAGTGGGAAGCCCTGAGGTCATCCTACTTTAGGCATGCAGCTATAGGAACTCTGTGGGGTTCTCAAGGCCACGTGGTGAGAAAGAAACGGTCAATATGTAGGATCATCGTACTGTAGAACAGGGTAGTGGAGAGTCAGTTGGGTAGATGGACATCCAGACCTGCGTTGCACAAACAGATGGCGTGATGTTGGTGTGATAATTGATTGTCTCTGATTCTCATTTTGTTACTGACTTGCTGTGTGACCTTGAACATACCTTCCCTTTGCCCTCTCTGGACCCCAACTTCTCTTTTAGAAACTGCCCCTTCTGGAAGCCCCCAGTTCCACACTGACACTACAGAGAAAATAGGCCCGGGGATGAAGAGGAGAGGGGAGGGAAGCCACTGAGTCAACACTATGATTTAGGAAGTAAGAGACTCCTCCCGGACCTCCTCACTCCTCTTCCTTAGCCTCTGGCTACCACAGGCGAAAGCATGTAGTAATGGGACGATTTTTCATGTAACATTCTTATCTGCACCCTCCAGGGGCCAGCAGGTGCAGGCAGCGGTGTGTGCAACCTGAGACCACAGATCTGATGTAAAGGCCTTTCTTCCTTCTTTCTGAATACACAGGTGGAGGCCCCAGGACTTTCTGGGAATGACATCTGCCCACCTGGCTTCTTCTGTCCCAGGGGAACAGTCTTCCCAGTGCCATGCCTGCCTGGGTTTTACTCCTCTGCTCCAGGCCTGGCCAGCGAGGACCAGTGCCTGCCGTGCCCCCCAGGGCACTACTGCAGCCATCCTGGGCTGTCCCATGCCATGGAGGCAGAGCTCTGCGATGCAGGGTAGGGGACCCTGACCCCGGAGTCCTCAGTGCAAAGAGGGAGTATCCCTAAGTCAGGTCTGACATGACCCCCAAGTCACAGATTAATCCTAGATCCTATGGTCTCTCCTCAGCCCCTGTGAGGATCCTGGGCAAGGGTGATTGTGTCCCAGGATGGGAGCCTCTGATGTGTCATCCCTTAGATACAAGGCTGAACTAATCACAGCCTCTAGGGCCCTCCTAGCACTGACTTTCCAAGATCTAAGAGTGCTGGGGTGCTGGGCCAGCCCCATGTCCCACTCAGCCCCAGGACAGCCTCCACATCTTCTGTCGCCCCTGCCAGGCCCTGGTCTTTACCCCCTTTGCCAACAGCCTCTGCGGACGGTGTCTGAGATTCCCAACAGGTGCATTTTCCCCTTATTGTTGAAAGGGCTATAGACTGGCCACAGCCACCAGTAAGCTCCGTTTGGGTCCTATGTGAAGGAAGGCCTGCCCCATCTGTTCAGGGCCCTGAGGACAGAGAAATTCTGGAGAGGGGAGCCATGCTTGTTCTAGGAAATGTCTAACCCTTCCCAGTACACTTCCTGAGCCCCTACTGCATAGTTTCCTATCACAGGAGCATAGACATTTTAGAGTTGAGGACTAGAGGACCTCCTTCCATCTGAGGGATGGCCCTTGACTGTGGTCACTCTGGCCTTATCCTCAGCACAAGTCTGATGACCTAAGGCTCCAAAGGCCACCCCTTTCTCCCACCTTCTACCTGTCCAGGACCCCATGGTCATGCTATAGGAGGTTCAGCCACGGTTCTCCATTTCCTCAGATACATCTGCCTGGGAGGCAGTGCTGTGCCCTCACCTTCTGATGGAACCCATGGCTACAGATGTCCCCCTGGCTTCCGCTGTCCCCCAGGGGCTCACAGCGAGCAGCCCTGTGAGCCTGGCACTTTCAGCCCATTGCCTGGGGCTCACACCTGCCTGCCCTGTCCAGGGGGCACCTACTGCCAAAAGGCTGCTACTGTGAAGCCCACCACCTGCCCCAAAGGTAATGAATGCCCTCGGGCCAGTCTCTGCCCTCACTCTCAAGGATAGAGGGACACTGGACATGACTGCAATGGACAGTGCACCTCAGGGCTCAGTGCAGCTGGGACCTCTGGCCCCCGAAGCTCAGCCCTCTCCCAGAACTCTACGCTTGATAGCAAAACCTCAGCCTTCTCTGGTAGCCAGTGACCCACCTATAAAATGGGGCTAATCCTACTGCAGAGGGAGGACACAGGGTGAAGGTTGTTGTGGGAGGCTCACCCGCCTGGGGACGCTGCCACTACCTTCCTTTACACGGTCTGTGACCAGCCTCACATGTCATTACCCTAGGTTCCCAGTAGGTGCCCAGGAGGTGAGTGTGCATATGTTACAGAGGGAGGAACACAGGTCTGAGAGGCAGGACATTCTGGTCAGTTCCACTCTGATCCTAAGGTGCCGCTGTCCTTGGACAGCCACAACCTGTCTCTAAAGCACAACCAGAGGACCCATGAGAATCCCACCCCAGAGGAGGTGCCTCCCTCAGTAAACACCCCACAGAGAAGACTACAGCACATCTTGTGTGAGACTCTTCAGCAAGTTGTTGGCCAAGGCCACCCTAACAGGTGGTCTTAGGGCAGCTATTCCTTGAGGAGGCTACTGGGGGCTTGTGTAAAGTGCACATAACCCCACTTTCTCCAGGACAAAAAACTCTCCCTCTTGACCTATGGAGCCAGGCCATACCTGTCACTTACTCTCACTAAGTAATGACCCCAGAAACCTCCATGCTGATGTCCCACACACAGGGGCAGGTACACACGCATGCACACAGGCGCACCTCAGCTGTCTGCACACACACCCCCACCCAAAAGTTCCTACCTCACTCGCCCGGATTCTAATCCTCCCCACCTTCTTCCACCACTGGGGCCAGTGTCCTCTTCCACATCCTTTCACTGTGCTCTCCGCATCCCCTCAAGTCTGCCCTCACTTCTTTGCCGTGAACGGTAGAAGGCTGTAGGGCCCAGGGAGCCACTGTGGGGTTGGGATGCGTGGTGCTCAGGGACACTGGCCTTCCCCACAGGTCACTATTGCCCAAGAGGGACATCCTCCGCTCTTCCCTGCCCTGAGGGAACCCTGAACCCACGGGAAGGTGCTCTCTCCCCTAGGGCCTGCCAGCCCTGTCCTGCAGGGAGGTATTGCCCTGGGGAGGGCAATGGGCAGGCTGAGGGTGAGTACCGGTGACCCAGTGGAGCTATGTCCTGGCTCCACTGTGTGGCTTCCCCCAGCGTTCTCCTTGGCTGAGCCACAGCACGGGTCTGGGTCTGACAGCCTGCCTCAGTGTGGCCCCCTGCTACTTCCTCCCTTGAACCCTGCTCCTCCCTCTTTCCCCTAAAAGTCCTCAGGCTTGTGGCCAAGAATAGGTTCTCATTTTAGCTCTGAACTTAGTGCGGGTGTGACCTCAGACAGGTCACTTCATCTTTCGGACCTCAGTCTCTTCTCCTAAAGTGGGGATGATCACAGTATGCACCTCCCACAGTTGCTGTGGAGAGTGTGGTCATTACAAACAGGAGCTTAGAACAGTGCCTGGTGTACAGCAAGTGCCCACACCTGTTACCTCCTAGAGCTACCCCTCCCCCTGGATTCCGTGTGGAAGCCACCAGCTAAGGGTCAAGGACTCCCTTCTTCCTTCTTTAATTTCCATGATTCTTTGGGGTTAGGTACAGCAGGCAGGGACCAGGGAGGAGGCAAGATATAGCATAGGCAGCTGGTAAGGTTTCCGTTGCTGCTCTAAAATTCTAGTCTTTCTATATCCAAGGACCCTGCTCAGCTGGTTACTACTGTAAGGGTGGAGCTGCCAGCCCCACTCCCCAGAGAAAATCTGCCTTTCCCCTCAATGGACCTTGCCCCCAAGGCCACTACTGCACCCAGGGGACTCTGTACCCTGTGCCCTGCCCCATGGGGACAACAAGGAGCAGCCCAGGTGAGCATCTGCCCTGTGTTTCCTATCCCCTCCCAGCTATGGGCCCCTCCTCCTTCAAACTCCCAACTTTAACACCCTAGACACAAACAGCACAATGGGAACATCTGTTTGTCAGGGTCTTTGGGGTTCCCACTGGGGTGGACTTGAGTCTGGGGGAAGGCCTGTGCCTGAGAGTTGATGTTAGGGCTTCTTGTCCCCGGGACACGGCCCACTCCTCCACCCCTTAACCTATGCCCAAAGCTGGGCTCTGCCCGTGAAACGCCAGGCTGCACCACTGGCCAACCCAAAGAAGAGATGCTCTAAGGGAGGCTCTGGCCAGTGGCTGCTTCATTCAACACATATTGTACCAGGCTCCATTCTAGCAAGCAGGAAAAGGTCTCATCCTCAGGGGTTGATATTCCCACCCGGGGACACACAGAGTCCATGAACCATGACCTCCCTATCCAAGGTGGCACCTCTGAAGGAAGCTGTGGACTGTGCCCAGCTGGATCCTTTTGCCCTGGCCTGGACCTAAGCTCTCCTATCAGTGCCTGTGTGGCTGGCTCCAAATGCTCCTGGGACCTCAGGACCTCCAGCCCCATGGCTTTCCTCTGCCCTCAGGTACCTCCCCAGGAGCTAGAGGAGGGAGCCTGGTCTCCTAGGCTTGGGGAAGCCAGGGATCCCCACCCAGGATTCAAGCTGGAGCCCTCCAGCTGGGGACCTCAGGTGATCTTCTGGTGCCTCCTATGAGGCACCTCAACACTCCCATCTCCAGGCCCTAGTTCTTTCTCCAGTGCTCCCAGCCAGCCTCTGGTCTCCTATACTCCAGTCACCATGGCCTGAACCAGCTGGAAGGAAGGACAATGCACTGACATTCCTGAGCACAAAACCATACCCAGCCTGGCTCTCAGAGGGACCACTTTGTGTCCAATGCCCAGGGTCACTTCTGCCAACCAGGGTCTGCTTGGCCTGCCCCATGCCACCAAGGGGAGTACCAGCCCTCCCTAGGCTCAGACACCTGCCTTTAGTGTCCACCTGGCTTTCACTGTCCTAATCCTGGCACCAGAATGCCCAGGCTTTGCCCAGCACATGCCTACTGCCCAACCGGTAAGCTCTCAAGTCTCCATGCATCCCAGGCCCTCATCTTTCTCCCCAACATCCTCACCTATCTTCCTTGCTTCTTTTCTTTCTTTCTTTCTTTCTTTCTCTTTCTTTCTTTCTTTCTTTCTTTCTTTCCTCATTTAAACTCCATGGAGAGCCTAAGGATACAATGCCAGGCACTGTATTCGCACTAGGAATGCCAATGGTGAAGACCATTTGCATAGATTTAATCCTCCCCTCATCTTTGCCCCAAGCCCATCCCACCGACTCTGTTCCCTTTCTTTTCTTCAGCTGTTGACTCATCCATGCACAATGTCCTCTCCCTTCATTACACTCAGCCTGGGGGGCCAGGGTGAGCGCCTGGACCAGGTTGATGGCAAACAGATGTCATCACCTGTGCTGGTCTGGGTCAACCATCTGGGAGCAGTTTCCTGAACAACACATAGAGAATGGCTCCTCGGTGGTGTTGGGCCACTGGAAGTGGAACCCAAAGTTCAGAAGATGGTGCCCCAGTGATCACAAGTGTGCTCTCCTCAAGTCTGAGTCCAGTCATCCTGAACACACTGTGCATGAGCCCACCCTCATACCATACACACACCCTCACACAATACACACACCCTCACAGAACACATACACATATGCACAAGTATACTCACAGTGCACACACAAACTCACACGTGTGCACATACAGTGTATACAGGCACACACACATGCATACACACATATCTATGCTGTCCCCAGGCAACCTGGCAAACAAATAGGTATCCACAAAAGTTCACAGTCTCTTCCACGTCTTACATCAATTTAGGCAAATCTTCCTGCCAATTTTAGGAGTTGTAACTACTTACACTTTGCAAGTGTTTGATTCACAGGTGATACATACATTTGTTTTCCCTGTGACTAAGGTGTGAAAGGTCTATATGCCACTTTAAAATGAGTGACCTCTTACCCCAGAATATTTACATTTCAAGTCCAAAGAACTTGGCCTGTTGTCCCCATGACTACTCATTGTATTAGTCACACACACACACACACACACACACACACACACGGAGGACAGCTGGTCTCTGGGGAAGCACTGTTCTGCCTTCCTGTCCCCACCACCCAGACCCTCAACCCACTCTTGCTGAAGTTGCTGATTCTTACTTTAACCCCCCCTAACTAAAGTCACACCTTTCAGTTTCTTACTCCCCTTCCTGGTCAGAAATTTTTTTTCAGCAGATGCAGCTGCTCCCTTTAACTTTTTTCCCTGTCGGGGGACTTCTCTTATTTCCCATTCCAGATGTGTATACTGGGGTGCCCCTGGCACCACAGCACAGGCCACAAGAAAATGTTGAGGTCAGCAAAGCCAGAGGAAGGCCCCCAAGACAAGAGCCACCGATGAAAGGGGGCTGTGGGGCAACCTGTGTTGGAGAGGAGGCACACAGGCACATCCCACCCAGCCAGGCCGGGCAAAAGGGCACTGTGGAAGGATTGGCTGGGAGAAGGCAGTTCCCAAGAGAGATGTGCTTAGTATGGATGGACTGGTTCCAGTCAGTCCCAGAGAACCCAGTGTCTGGTGCCAAGAAGGCAGATTGGCTAGATTAAAGCCCCTCGCCCCTAAATAGCTTCACTGCTACCTGGAAATCCTTCCCTAGGGAGTTACCCTTCTGTAAGGAAACAATAATCCTAGGGAGAGAGACTAAAGTCATGGCCATTTCAGCTCTTCAAAAGCTCTGAGAAAGCAGGAAGGAAAAACTCAGCACCCCGGGGGCAGCAAGAGGCTGATGGGTGGGGGGCCTGGTCACTAATTGATCCAGGCATGGAGCAGGTGGGTCCACAGGGATCAATGTGACCTGAGCCCTTAGCTGCCCATCTTCACTGCCTAACCCCCCTCTCCAGGAATGTGGTCCCCTCCTCCATGTCCTCCAGGGACCTTCACACCCCAAGATGCATCAGGCCTCCGGGAAGAGGGTGACTGCTCCGTCTGTCACCCTGGTAGCTACTGCAGGTCAGTAATAGCCCAGAGTCCCACACTGACATCGAAGAATGCCCTCCAGGCAAAGAGGCCCAACAGGTCCTGGGACTGCCCTGAGCTCACATCCCCCCATTAGTGGGGCAGCTAAGGAGCGAGGGGGCCAGGGCCCACTACAGGATGGCAGCCCTACCTGGCCACACAGACCTGAACAGGGAAGGAAACCTGACAATTAGGTGAAGAGAGATAGGACAATGGGCGCAGGCCCAGGACTTTTTTTTTAAATAATAATAAATACATTCAAACTGAGGAAGGGTCAATATAAAATAAAAATAGCTCGGCTTAGTCCCTACCTAAAAACATGGGAAAGTTCCTTAGAGGCAAAATTCTTTGTGCCTCCAGTTAATACCAGAGTTCTGCACATACACCCGGGGAAAAAGAGGAACAATCCTTCCTTCTATCTCCTCTTCTGAATCTTCTACAATGTGAATAGTTTTTGTAATTATTGGAGCTAGAAGGACTATGAATGTTACCTATAAACAAAATAATCAGAGAGCAGGGCTCAGGATGGCCAAATTCTATCTGAAATGTCCTACACCTACTTGGTATGGTGAAGACACGTATTTATACAATGGGGACATTCTCACTCTAGCAGTAGAAGCCACTGGAAGAACACTGTACTTGGGATTCAGAGACTCACAGGCTCTAGGGCTGCATGGGATAGGGGTTCCCCAGGCTCCCATAAGACCTTTGGGACAAGCCCACCCCTCAAATTAGCCCTCGGCCCAACTCCCCCAGAGTAACCAGACAAAAAGATTGCGGGTCTCTGGTCCAGAGAAAGCTCCCAACATTTGCTGAAAACACGTACCTCCAATTTCCTGGGACTGGGAAGAGGGATCCTCAAAAGAAGAGTTGCTCTATTTCATGCAGAGGCAAACTTGCTTCAAAGCAGATTATTTTCTACTTAAAAGGTGATCGTGGAGGTTTCCTCAGATGCTCTTTGTGGAGGATTGTCTCCCTGTACTCAGGAAGTTCTTCCTGAGGTCTAGCCTGCTTTCTGCTGCAGAGTGGGAGATAAGACTAGTGACCAGACTAGTCTTCTAGAGAGCCCAGGCCCAGGAACCTGACAGGCCGCCGGCAAGCCTGGGGGTAATGCAGAGAGTAGGTAGACTAGCTGTCAGCCCCCTTCCTCCTCACCTAACAGTGAGTGCCGAAGGACTAACCAAGTTCCTCCAGGAGAGGCTCATCCTGCTACTGGCAGTCCTGAGTCCTGCCCTTTATCCGCTGAGCTCCGCAGTCAGTGGAGTAGACATCCAGGAATCTGTCTTTTCCGGAAGGATGCGCAAGGGTGGAGCTCCCATTGCTGTACTGGGCCCAGCACCCCTGGGTCTGAGCCTCACGCCCCGTTTTATTGCTGGGTCTTGTTTCTATCCTATACATGGATAGATCCATGTGTTCTCCTGGGAGAGAGGTCAAAAGCATTTCACACTGTGGATCACAATAAAACTATCTGAAACAAGGGCCTGGATCCCCTCTGGTGCTGAGGCACTGGGCTCAGATCAGCCCCTGCACCCTGATCTCACCCTTCTCCCCTCTCTGTGCTGTTAGGGGTGGACAGGTGTGGGGGAAATGCCCTGCTGGTTATTTCTGTCCTGCTGGGACCTCCGAACTAACGACACAAGGTCCCAGGGAGTCTCAGCCCTCGTGCCCCCAGGGACAACTGTGCGCCAAGCAGTGCCCACCAGGTAATGACCCCTGTTTCTTGCCCTTAGAGTGTGAAAGAGGCAGAGAGCAAGGCTGCTTGGCTGCTACCACAGCACCCACCCGGGCAAAGGATTTCTTTTTTGGGTCAAAAACAGACCCTGAAAATAGCTGACTCCCACACCTGACTGGCTCAGTAGAACCCGTGACTCTTGTCACATCAGTAACCTTCTGAATTTCATTAGAAGGTTTGATCCCCATGTTGGTCATAGAACTTCCTTAAAGAAATCATCAAAAATAGTTGAGCCCCAGTGTTGTGCAACTAACATGTATCTGCATGTGCATGTGTATGTAATTACATACATCAAACGTATGCGATATGAATAGACACCTAGAGCAATTCAGAAGGTTACTAATTTTACAAACATAAAAGCAAGTGAAGCCAGGACTGGCATCCAGACCAATCAACTGCTGGGCCAACAGAACCCCCGGGCCACCCCTGGATTCATGCTGTTACTGCTCTGCCACAGCTGAGCAGTCTACCTACCTTCCACAAGACCCAGTGTGACCCCTTATGCTTCAGGCTTTTACTGCCCAGAGGGCAGTGGAGAACCCACCTTATGCCCACCTCATACTGTGGCGGCTGCCCCTGGAGCCAAGCAGCAAGATGAGTGTGGGCCTTGCCCTGCTGGGCGCTGGTGCAAAGCCGGTAAGTTAACTGCACCGTAGCCAGGAGGGCACTGGACCCAAGAAGGGCCGAGGGAGGCCCTCTGGGCAGGAAGAGAGGATGGAAAGTGAGCACAACCTTTGCTCTCCAGGAGACCCGACCACTCACCCCTGCCCTGCTGGCCACTACTGCCCTGGAGGGAATAAAACCAGTCCAGGAACCCCCCAGGCCTGCCCTGAACACACCTATCTGGCTGCAGAAGGAGGCCAGAGTCTGGCAGAGTGCCTCCCTTGCCCTCCCGGGTACCACTGCCTGTCCCCAGGTGAGAGTTTGATCCTAAGCTGGATGCTGAGAGCCTCTATGGAGGAGAGTAAGAGGTTTTCAGAGGTCGCATGGCCATGCCTGATGTTTTTGCCTCCAGGTCTCTCTTCCTTCAAAAGCCACCCATGTCCTCCAGGCTACTGGTTTCCAGGTGATCAGGGTGCCTTTCTCTGTCCACCTGGCACCTTTCGAACAAAGCCAGGGGCATCATCCCAAGAAGACTGTGAGCTCTGTCCCCCTGGCCACTACTGCCCCCAGGCTGAGCTTCAAGATAATGCAAATGTGTTTGTGATCCCCTGCAGAGCTGGAGCTGAGTGCCCTGCAGGTGAGACTGCCTTGCCTATCTGCCCTCCCCAGCCCATGCCCCTAACCCTGTGCCCGCACCCCTGAGGCTTAAGCCAGGTGCTCAGGCAGGTCTCACCAGCACAAGGCACATCATGCAGGCATGGTATGGCCACTTGCTTGCCCTAGCAAAGCCATATACCCAGTCCCCCAGGGCCCACTCAGTCTTGGTTGGATCTGCACCACCTTGAGTCCCCCTAAGACCCACGTGCCTTGGTCCGTTCGTTCTGTTTCTTTCAGGTTCTGTGGCTGAGGTCACATGCAGGGCTGGCTCCTACTGCGGGCCCCAGACAGGGGTCCCCCCACTTTGCCCTGGGGGCTATGCCTGCCCTGCTGGCTCCTCCACCTACACTGGCCCAGGGCAGCTGTGAGTACCTCCCCTGTCTGTGTATCTGGGGCTCCCCCTGTGTCTCAGCCTCTGGGCTCTCCAGAGAGGAGTCAACCCCCTGAGTCCCAAAGGATGCAGGCCAAAATAGCAGAGCCCAGAGGCAAGTACTGTGTAACGCATTGCTTGGGCTTCCCATCTAGGGTGTTCTGGTGCCCCAGTCCTCCCTCTGTCCCTAGGAAGGATGGGTGAGGAAACAAATCCCACTGAGATGCCCTTCTTAGTTTCCAAGGTCATTCCCTGTGGGGTGGCCAGATTTAGCAAATAAAAATACAAGAAAACCCAATTAATAAAAAAAAGAAAGGAAGGAAGGAAGAAAGAAAGAAAGAAAACCCAGTTAAGTATGAATTTCGGGTAAACAAATAATTTTTTAGTGTAAGTACGGCCTATGCAATATGCGGTAGTACTTATTGTTTATTCATTGTTAATTGCTCATTGTTTATCTGAAATTCAAATATGACTGAATGCAGTGTATTTCACCTAGCAACCTCAATCCTGTGTCCAGGACCGACATTCCCAGCACTCCCAACTGTGTCCCTCAACCCGGAGATGATCAGATGTGGTCCACATATTCTGTTGCCCAGGGTGAGGTGGGTAGGGAACACAGGCTTGGACACTGTCCAGTGGCCTGGCCACTTAGACGAGGCTCAGCCTCCTCCAGGAAGACACCTTGACCTACTTAGGCCTCTTCAGACAGTAGACCACCTCAGAGCCCCTTATCTGGGACAAATTCAGGGCCACCCCTCCCCCAGCCAGCTTAAGGCCCAAGTGTGGAGAATGTGGAGAGGGGTGGGGGACCCAGCTAGTGTGCTGAGATAAATAGCACACACAGACCCTCTCAACATGAAACTAGAGTCTGGGGGGTCTGTGTCTCTGTGCAGCTGTGTGTTTCCCTTTTACTGCCCCGTGGGCAGTGCCCATCCACGTGCGTGCCCTGGGGGCTCTGAGGCCCTGAATGGGACTGGCCTTAGGGTCTCCAAGGAGACTTGCTGCCGCCTCTGTGAAGCAGGCACCTACCGCAGCCAGGCCCTGGATTCCCAGACCTGTCATCCCTGTCCGCCTGGATTCACCTGCCACCAGGGTGAGTTTGGGAAGCCTGGGTGTGAGCAGGAGAGGGGGGAATGGAATTCTTGGAATTGGACAGAGCCCAGTGAGGAGGATAGAGGTGGCAAGTAGGGAGGACCCACAGAGCCGCTAGGAGCATGCAGGGGAACAGGCCTATAGTTTTTCTCAGCTAGGCCAGCCACCTGATTGAGAAAAGCCCAACTGTATGGCAGGGGTGGGGGGGGGGGGGGGGGGGGAAACACAGGTGAAAGGAGAGTCAGAGAAATTAGGTGCCACACCTGTCTTGATGTTAGGTTTAAAAGACCTAAAAATTATTGACTGTGCATCATATCATACAATGAGCATGTTGGAGCCTGTCCTGGGAAACAGGACAAACTACAGCCTGGTGTATGAGCAATGCTGGATATGCAGCTCTGTGTCTACTGAGAAAGATGGAAATGTGTTGTGTAGTGCCCAAAAGGCCAAGGGTATTGTTGCTTGGGGGGTGGGAGGGTAAATACAAGAAAGCACAGAGACTCTACTATCTCACAATCTAGATTCTTCCCTGATCAGTATTTGCTTTGCTATCTCCCCTCCCACTCCCTTCCCCACTTGAATCCTACCGGCAAGCTCATTCTTCCCTCAGACTCTGCCGTTTCCCAGTCTGCACCTCAGCTAGAGTCCATGGCTCAGAATTTCCCCCTCTATATCCCTCCAGAAACAGAGAGTTACCACAGCCACCCCTGCCCAGTGGGGTACTACTGTCCCACCGGGACTCACAGCCCCAGGCCCTGCCCATTGGGAACGTTTAGAAACAGCAGCCAGGCAGGGGCAGGTGGAGAGTGCCTGCCATGCCCTGCAGGCACCTTCAGTGCCCAGCCTGGCCAGGCTAGCTGCCTCCCCTGCGGGAGCTCTGCTTTCTCTCCACCAGGTGAGTCTCCATTTATGCTCTCCCCCGCAAACTGGTTAATCACCCTTGTCTCCAGATATGGCCTCCAAATACACCATTTCTCCTGTCCTCTGAAGTTTTGAGGATGAAGAGTGTAAGGTTTCAGAAAACCTCACTGCCATCAGATTTAATTGTTTTATGAAAGCTGCAGTATGTGAAAGAATGGGTGACCCCATGACTCCCACAGCACAGGCATAGTGTGTGTGCGTAGATAAAATGAGTTTGTGCCTTGACTTCAACAAGCAAATGAGTGAATGTGAGGAAACAAGCTCAGAGATGTCCAGCAACTTGCCCCAGATGACTTGAGTAACGGAGGAGCCAGAACCTTGCACTGAGAGAGCAGGAGAGGTTCTGATGCTGCAGCAAGCTCTTAAAGGTGGCAGCAGCCACACCCAGTTCTCTCACACCCACCCCCGGCTCAGAACCTGTGCAGCAGGATTAGGCACAGAGACATAAACCCAGGACTCAGCTGTGGTCACTGGTTCCTTGTTGATCCCCTTCACCTCGCTTCATTTCAGAGGTGGTCTCCTCCTGGTTTTTGCTGTGCGAACCACTTGTGCGTGGTCCACAGAGCAAGCAGGAAAAGTAACCAACAGCAGGCAATTTAAGTTGTTCAAATCATAGGTATGTAGCCTCAATGGGGGCTCCCTCCAGTCCTGCTCCCTGATGAGGGCTGACCCAAGATCTCCAATGATAAGAGCATCCACTGTGTATGCCCTCTACTGTTGCAAGTGCTGCCTAATATCCATCCTAGTGATCCACCGACTCTCTGAAATAGTCACAGTTACTATCATCATTGCTTTATAAACACACCAACTAAAGTGCAGAGAGTTTAAATAACTTGTCCATGGTCAGAGAGTTAGTGGCAGAATCAGGATTTGAACCCAGTCTAGCTGACTTCAACATTCCTGCTCTTAACCACCATGCCATGCCACCTTCAAATGGTATTACTTGAGGTTTCCAGGGATTCTATCATCATTTCTTATCTCTGCTTTAAGGCATTCTATCTCTTAGGTGACCAAGCTCTGAATCCAGTGACCAACCCTCACCCCAGAACTTGGAGATTGGGAGCTGAATGAAGCAGGTCCCATTGGTTGTGTTATCTAAATTGCATTTCACTGGCTTGTACATAACAACCTAGTACAACCAGTTGCTTTAGTTATTGAGAAATACATTTTAACCGTTTTATCTTGGAATGATCATGAAAGAATTAGAGCTCTACCTTCTATGGGCATGTGATAATAATTTTTGTGGTGAGATGACCCTTAGGTCACACCAATTAAATTTTTTTCAGGCTGAAATTATTGCAAGCATTCTCTGTCACATAGAACCTTGGGGCTATATTAGTCTTCTTGGGCTGCATGACAAAAATACACAGACTTGATGGCTTAAACAATAAAGTTCTATTTTCTCATAGTTTTGGAGACTAGATGTCCAACATTAAGGAGTTGGCGGATTTGGCTTCTTTTGAGATCACTCTCCTTTGCTTTCAGATGACTGCCCTCTTTCTGTCCTCATAAGGGCTTTCCTCTGTGTGCAGGCATCCCTGGTATCTCTCTCATGTGTCCAAATTTCCTCTTACAAATACACCAGTCAGATTGGATTGGGGCCATCCTAATGGCCTCATTTTAATTTAATCACATTTTTAAAGGCCTCATCCCCAAATATAGTTGCATTCTGAGGTAGTGGGAGTTCAGACTTCAACATAAGAATTTGGGGGAATAAATATGAAGCCGTAACATAGGCCTTGATCACCTCTAGGTCAAATTTTGAAATAAGCCAACATTTTCTTCAGGCTTGTGTTCGGATTAGCCTTTTCAACTTCTACAAGAAGTCTCACTCCAGTTAATATAGTCTTGCATTTTATTTTCTAAAAGTTTTGCTGATTTATAGCATAAGGTATAAGTTAAGGGTCAAAATTCATTTTTCCCAAACAGATATCCAGTCAGCATAGCACCTTTATTGAAAGATCACTCATGTTTGTCATTAGTCAAACATCTCAGTGAATCTTTATGTTTATGAATCTCTATTCTGTCCATTGAATTTTTTTCCTATCCTTGTAGTAATCATTGTCCTAATCACCATAGGTTTGTTGTTGTTTTTTTTTTTAAGATTTTAGTTATTTGCCAGAGAGAGAGAGTACACACAAGCAGGCAGAGAGGCAGGCAGAGGCAGAGAGAGAAGCAGGCTCCCTGCCGAGCAAGGAGCCTGATGCGGGACTCGATTCCAGGACCCCAGGATCATGACCTGAGCCGAAGGCAGCGGCTTAACCAACTGAGCCACCCAGGTGTCCCCTAATCACCGTCGTTTTATATTAACCTTAATATCAATAGTCTATGTCTTCCAACTTTGTTCTTTTTAAGATTGTGTTAGCTCTTGTGGTCCTTGATTTCTATACAATCATAATATCCACAAAGATACTTGCTGGAATTTTTTTGGATTACTTAGAAACAACAAACCCTTTTGGAGAGAAATGGCATCTTTATTATAATTGAGTCTTCTAGTCCTTAAACATGGCTTAACTTTCCTTTTATTTACGTCTTCTTTACTCTTACAAGATTTTTGTCTTATTTTTATTTCTGGGTAGGGCCCTTATATACATCTTGTTAGCTTTATTACTAGGTACAGGAATACCTTATTTTATTGTGTTTCTCTTTACTGAGTTTCATGGATACCACATTTTTTACAAATTGAAGGTTGTAGCAACCCTGCATAGAGCAAGACGAATGATGCCATATTTCCAACAGCATTTGCTTGCTCCATGTCTCTGGATCAAGTTTTGGTTAATTCTCTCAATATTTCAAACTTCTTCTTTAACACTATATTTGTCATGATCTGTGATCAGTGATTATGACCTGCTGAAAGCTTGGATTTGATTAGCATCTTTTAGCAATGAAGTATGTTAATTAAGGCTTATACATTGTTTTTTTTGACATAATGCTATTAACACTTAATAGACTACAGTATAGTACAAACATAAATGTTATATGTACTGGGAAACCAAAAAATCCATTTGAATTGCTTTATTTATGTTTTTACATTGTTTTATTGCAATCTTTGATTTATTGCAGTGGTCTAGAATCGAACTCACAAAATCTCTAAGATTTCCTTAAGTTTTAATATTTTTTGAAGTCATTGCAAATTCTGTTAGGTTTTTAAAATTTCATCTTCCAAAGTTTTGTTTTTCTAAAATTTCCTTTTTCAGCTTATCCTTGAAACATATTTTGACAAAGCAGAGAATTCTAGCTTGACAGTTGTTTTCTTTTAGAATTTCAAAGATAAACTTCCATGGCCTCTGCCTTTTGTTATTTTTGTTGAGAAGTGTTACATAAGTCTTATATTTGCTCTTAGGAGGTAAATATCATTTTCCCCTGGTACTTTTAAGATTTCCTCATTGTCTTCAGTTTTGGGGAATATAACTATAGTTCTCTTCCTATAGTTTTCCTTTTTTTTTTTATCTTCTTTGAGTTTCTTTAGCATTTCATCAAGTCTGTGAAATTCTTAGCCATTATGTTTTTTTAAATTTTTCTGCTCTACACCCTTCTTTCCTCTTGACTCTTCAATTACATTATCTCTTTTTACCATACACATGTCTCTTGCATTATTTTCTGCATTTTTCATTTTTTATTTTCTCTTTCTGAGATTCAATCTGGATAGTTTTTTCAGACCTATTTTCTTCAGCTCCATATAATCTGCTATTAAACACATCTATCAATATTTGATGTTTTGCTATTGAATCCCTCAGGCCTGGAATTTATATTAGTCTTTTATAATTCCCTGTTGAAATTTTCCTCTGATCTTGTCCTTTGATTTATCAAACATACTAATCACAGTTTAAAGTACATGGCATGTCTTAAAACTCCAATATTTAGATCTCATATGAGCCCGTAACCAGTGTCTGGGGTTTTGGTTGTTGTTGTTTTCTTTCTCCTTCCATTTCTTAAAAATTCTTGCTTTTTTTTGCATGTCTGGTTTTTGTTTTATTTATTTTGTTTGTTTTGTTTTGTTTTGTTTTGTTTTGTTTTTATTGAACAGTACACATTGTGAGTGAAAATTGTGGGGAAATTCTGGATATTGTTACCTTCCTCCACAAAAGAATTACTTTCTTTCTGTAGTAGGAATAAATCACCTCAGTTCATCAGGGATTCAGAAAATCAGTGCTAGGCTCCAGGTTTTGAGAAATTTAGTTTCCTTACAGTCAGTCCATACTAGGTTGCAGCCCTTCAATTGTTCAACCTAAAAGCTTGTGATGTTTACCAGAGACACTTATTCTTGGTGGGCCCAATTTTTGTCCCCTTAGCCTTATAAGACATCCTGAAACTATGCTTCAGCTTCTCAATGGCACCTTTGAAGAGGTAAATGCCTTTCAGAAAAATGTGGTGCCAAATGTGGGGCTCACCCCTCTGAATTTCCATTGTCTCCAAGATTTTTTTCACCATAAATCTTCAGTTAAGTTCTTCATGCCTTCAAATCGATGTTTTTTTATATTTTCCTGGTCTTTCTAGTTATATGTCATAGGAAGATCGACCTAAAGTAAGGTATTCTGCTATTGTCAAAGGTAGAAAAACTTATACACACTTTTATAAATTGCCTCTTTCCCTTTTGGGATGAGATGGAGAGATTTTTGGTTCATTTATTTTAGAGGTTAGCTCACAAACACTAAACCTCCAACTATTGTTCTTAGTGCGACAAAGACACTATGAAAGATATGAAGACAAGTGCAATAGGAAGAAAGAAAAGAATATATAACAAACTGGCAGAAGCAAGTGCCACAAGAAAAAAAAAAAAAGAAGTCTGGATGGTTCAATATAGGAAGAAATTGAAGGATCAGGGAGACTTATGGGAAGGTTGTAATTTTTTTTTTTTGAGGCTTGATGCATGTTTATTTAAAACAAACAATGGAAAGTTTATCATACCATTTGCAGCAACCCAAGCAATATTTTCTAGCCATTACAAAACATATTAAAACAAAATTTCTAGATTGCCTTTGACTTTTATGTCTCTTTCTGAAAAGCTAATTTCACGAATATGCTTGGTTTCTCTAATACAATAGGGGCAACTCACATTAGAGAACAGAAACAGTAAACTGTGAACTGAGTTGAGGGGAAGTTCCTGAGGTTGAAAGAGCAGATGTGCATAAATGTGGAAATGAAAATCATTGTCAGGAAAGACATATATTTTGTCAATTTTGGAAAAGTAAAGTGAGGAAACGAACTAATGCCTTCTATTGCCTTCAGGTACTTCCAGTGGTAGTCTAGATGCTTGAAATAGATGATTCCATCTTATCCAGAGTCTCAAAAAAAAAAAGCCCTGTGAAGTAGATACATCATATACATTTTTGCTTGTTTGCTTCAAGTTTTTATTAAATTCTACTTAGTTAATATATGGTATAATATTGGTTTCAGGAGTAGAATTTAGTGATTCCTCACTGACATCCAACAAGTGCCCTCCTTAGTACCCATGACCCATTTAGTAATCTACCCACCTCCTCTCTATCAACCCTCAGTTTGCTCTCTATAGTTAAGAGTCTCTTATGGTTTGCCTCTCTCTCTTTTATTTTCCTCCTTCCCTTGTGTTCATCTGTTTCCTTTCTTAAATTCCACATATGAGTGAAATCATATGGTATTTATCTTTCTCTGACTTATTTTGCTTAGCATAATACACTCTAGCTCCATTCACATCATTTCAAATGGCAAGATTTCATTCTTTTTGATGGCTGAGTAATATTCCTGGGAAAGTTTTTATTTATTTTATCTTTTTATAATTCTATACACATTTTATTTTATTTTATTTATTATATTCAGTTAGCTGATATATAAAAAGGTTGTATTTAAACAGGAACTTGAAGATAAGTAAAATCTTATTGGGTTGAGATGTTTGGGGGAAGATATTAAACAATGATTCTTTTTTTTTAAATTATTTATTTTCAGCATAACAGTATTCATTGTTTTTGCACCACACCCAGTGCTCCATGCAATCTGTGCCCTCTCCAATACCCACCACCTGGTTCCCCCAACCTCCCACCCCCCCGCCCTTCAAAACCCTCAGATTGTTTTTCAGAGTCCATAGTCTCTCATGGTTCACCTCCCCTTCCAATTTCCCCCAAATGCCTTCTCCTAACTCCCCATGTCCTCCATGCTATTTGTTATGCTCCACAAATAAATGAAACCATATGATAATTGACTCTCTCTGTTTGACTTATTTCACTCAGCATAATCTCTTCCAGTCCCGTCCACATTGCTACAAAAGTTGGGTATTCATCCTTTCTGATGGAGGCATAATACTCCATAGTGTATATGGACCACATCTTCCTTATCCATTCGTCCGTTGAAGGGCATCTTGGTTCTTTCCACAGTTTGGCAACCGTGGCCATTGCTGCTATAAACATTGGGGTACAGATGGCCCTTCTTTTCACTCCATCTGTATCTTTGGGGCAAATACCCAGTAGTGCAATGGCAGGGTCATAGGGAAGTTCTATTTTTAATTTCTTGAGGAATCTCCACAGTGTTCTCCAAAGTGGCTGCACCAACTTGCATTCCCACCAACAGTGTAAGAGGGTTCCCCTTTCTCCACATCCCCTCCAACACATGTTGTTTCCTGTCTTGCTAATTTTGGCCATTCTAAGTGGTGTAAGGTGGTATCTCAATGTGGTTTTAATTTGAATCTCCCTGATGGCTAGTGATGATGAACATTTTTTCATGTGTCTGATAGCCATTTGTATGTCTTCATTGGAGAAGTGTCTGTTCATATCTTCTGCCCATTTTTTGGTATGATTATCTGTTTTGTGTGTGTTGAGTTTGAGGAGTTCTTTATAGATCCTGGATATCAACCTTTTGACTGTACTGTCATTTGCAAATATCTTCTCCCATTCCGTGGGTTGCCTCTTGGTTTTCTTGACTGTTTCCTTTGCTGTGCAGAAGCTTTTGATTTTGATGAAGTCCCAAAAGTTCATTTTCACTTTTGTTTCCTTTGCCTTTGGAGACATATCTTGAAAGAAGTTGCTGTGGCTGATATTGAAGAGGTTACTGCCTATATTCTCCACTAGGATTATTCTTTTAATATAGATCTGTGATTATTTCTACAGTCATGTATGCCAGACCAAGAGTTCAGACCTTTGTTCAAAGTATTATTTAGCAACATAATACTTTTTCAAAATATTTCACATTTAGGAAATTAATGTGAAAAAATGTAAAAGCAGAGTGGTACAGATTGAACAAAGGTTGAGTTCTAAAATCCCCAAGGCTCCCCTGTGTAACCACAGGCTTACAGAGTGCTTTGGACAATGAGATATGGAAGACTCCCAGGGTCTCAGCAGAGACCTGGTCTAGATAAGCCAAAGAATTTATTGGAGTTCAGGATATTACAGAGGGCTTCACCATCTAGAACCTGACTCATGAAAATGCTATGTGTCATTTCAGTATTGAGTAATTACCTTTCTTCTCCACAGTAGAAATAATTATTCTTCTTGTTAATGGTCCCTAAATTCATTTGGGGAAAGAATATGACCATATTAGCAAAAGGTGTCAACTCTCAATCCATTCAACAAGCTCTGCTGAGTTCTTTTGGTTACTATGTACCATACATGTAAGTGATTATCTGCAGGAGCAGACAAGGGCTAAACTTTAAATGACTTTTTTATTCTCCCTGAGCAGATGAAAGTTCCAACAGGGGTGAACAAACTGGAATTGCAGTGAATCCTAGTCAACTACAAGGCCCCAATCTCTACCTCCCCCCAGCTGGCTCTCCTAGAAGAACAATCACCTAGACTCTGTTAGTCTCCCAAATAAAATCTGAACCTTCCCCACTCATCACCTTCTTCTCTGCTGAGAATCCCTGTTCTCTTGGCTCTGCCATCCAGTCCAGACCATCCTTCAAGCTCCTTGAGAGGCCTTTAGTCTCTGTAGCTCTCTCTATTTTCTAGAGATGGAGGTCTGTGCCAGTCCTTCAGAAATGGTCCCCCATGGCTTTGTGGGATGGAGAATAGGAACAACACTTTCCATTCCATAACGTGTCAAGTGCTTTCAACTACATCCATAATTCTCAGCCACAGCTACACATTAAAGCCCTCAAGGGACTTAAAAAGTAGGTGTTCTGGCTTCACCTCAGAGGTTTCTATATAATTTACCTAGAGAGTACTTGAACATCAACATTTTTTTAAAAGCTTCTCAGATGAATCTAATGCAAAGTCAGGGTTGAGAATCATTGACTCAAAAGATCTCATTCAGTCCCCACAAAGACTTCTAAGGTCAGTACTTTGGTAAATGTGAGTATCTGGTCTCCCCATCTAGATCACAAACTCCCTTTGGACAGGGACAGAGAGTTTACCCATGTCTCTGGCTCACTATTAGGTGTGTGTGATGGGCTATGGGACTCCTCTATCCCCAGGTGCCTCCAACTGCACGTGTCGGGGCCTGAACAGGGTCTTCCAGAAGTCAGATGGTTCCTGCATCTGCCAGGCAGGACATGAGTCCTATAGCAGAAGGGGCCTGGAAAGTGAGGAGAGCAACGGTGATGAAGACTGTCAGCCCCAGGTAACACCTTGGCCTCAAGAAAGGAAGGCTTAAAGACTGAGGAGAGATAGCATGCCAGCCACTTTTTATTGGCTGTCTGGTTAATGTTCAGTCCATTGTGCTGGGTGGATTACCTCCTATACAAATGAGAAGACCTCAGAAGGATCATATGGCAAGACACATTTCTCCTTATCAGAGACCAACACATCTTCAGCATTCAATATAAAGGATCCAGTGTCCCCAAAACTAAACCTCCCAAACATCTCCCTCAGTCAGCAAACTTGTTTTCTATTACTTACGTGGGTCCCCTCTATCCTCAAGCCTAATCCCAGTCTTAGGACACTGACTAAGTGACCTCGCAGAAGAGACTGTTTCTCCAGAGGCCCCACTGTGTCTCTGAAATTTTCTTTGATGCAGAGAGTGCCCCAATCCTTGGCCTACAGGGGGTACCAGAGCCAGGACTCTTCTCTTACACCTCCCACAGGTGGTAGAGCGATGCTGGGCTGGAGAAGTTCGCCTGGCTGCCACCCGCAAGTGTGTGACCCCACAACTGCATGACTGCTCTTCCTTCTGTCACCCAGTGGGTGGAGAGCTCAGTGCTGAACTGGGCATGTGAGTAATGAAAAGCTGCTGAAAACAAAATCAATCCACCATCACCTGAAAGGTCCTGACTGTCCCCAGAGAGCCCATCTGGAAAAGTTGGGTAGGACCCAGCCCTGATGGGAGACTAAGCCAAATACAAGCTCCTTCCAGAAGCTTCCCTGTTAGCATTTCCCAAGACGGAGAGCTAGGCTAACAACAACCAGGTCAAGCAGCCCAGAGCTGAGGAGGTGCTGGCAGCAAAGCAGAGTGAGCTCAACACCCCAGGTCCCTGAGCCAACTGCTAGGAGTGCCCCTGACTAGATACCAAGCCAAGAAGGATTCCAATTTTATCTGACATTCCAGTCTTCCACCTGACTTGTGGACCAGAGTTCCCCAGCACGCAGAGCTGGGGAGCCACTGTGCTGGGAGGCCCACCGAATAGAGTATGCCGGGCTGAACAGCATTCTCTCACTTCGCTCTGGCCTCAGCAGGGAACCCAAAACAAAAATTCTGAGCCTATCAACTAAGATTTGTCCCAGACATTGATCCCATTTTGGGAGATGCCTAGGCTGGTACAGAAGCAGGAGCTAGAAGAGTGCATTTTAATGAGTCATCATGGACCTCCATTCAAATTATAGTCACTGCTTAGGAAGCATAGACACCTCATATCCTTCTGAAGGGGCCTGTACTAGCATAAAGGTATCAGGGGTGCACAGCTGCTCCATACCCATCAGAGCAGACCTCCCATCTTCTCCTCTCCCACAGCTGCCAGTGCCAGGAGTATGTCTCAGCCGAAGAGCTCTGCGATGCCCAGTGTCTGGCTAGGGCCCCCCAACTTGCCCTGGCCTGGGGTTCCAGCAGACAGCTGATTCTCAGTGTGAAGAGTGAGACAGGAGACAGCGACCAGAGTGTAAGTCCAGTTCAGAGAAGGGCTGGGATGGAAGGGCAGCCTCTACCTGCTAAGGACCCAAGCACCCTGGCTGCAGAAACCAGGCAGCAGAAGGGAAAGTCCATTTGCCAACCAGTTTTTCCTAGTCTGTTGCTATCTGTATGAATTTCCATTCTGTAAGCTGGAGGGAAAGGCAGAAAAGAAGTGTATTTGTTGGTACAATAATGTCAACCATCTGGTTTGAATGCCAGAAGAGAGCTGAGAAAGCATCAGCTTGGCTTTACATAAGTGTGAAGTGAGGCCCAGGGACATGAAAGCTTTCACCATGGTCACAAAAATGGTGTGAGCCCTGCTGGAACCAAGCCTGGGCCTCTCATCCCAGCCTAGACCTCTGGTCAGAGAGCAGAGCCTTCTCTTGGCCACCATCATGTTGGCTGTGACTGTCTTCAGGGCCTCAATGCTTCATCGAGGTTGGAGGGGCAGAGGATCAGGGCCAGTGCAGATCTGGCTCACCCTGGACATTTGCCTACCACAAGGTTCTAGGTGGCTGTGTCTGTTTGCCATTGAAAGAAGAAGGATCACTGCTGTGGCACTGGAGAACAGATTTGGGGTGATAGGAAGATAAGTGTTCTGAAGAAGTTGTTCTGTTAGTAGGAATTTGGAAGTAGCGAGAAAAGGAGCAAACAGTGACCTGGTACAAGGACCAGAGATGAGTCAGGGGTGTTTTCTGGAGATAAGGAGAAGCCCAGGGCACAGGAGGCCGCCTGAGCAAGTTTCACTGAGGAAGGAGACATGTCCTGATGGAGGCTGATAGTGGGCATCCTTGAACCCTGCATCACCAGGGGCTCTGCTAAAGGACTCAGTTTGGGTTTCTGGCCATCCATCATTGCAAGCCTCTCTGCACCTCCTGTCCTCTCCAAGTATATAATGCTGTGTTGCATGTTCTCAGGAAATAGTGAGCACTCTGGGTCCAGACCAGTTCTTCCAAGGGAACGCCAGGGTCCATCTGGTCCAATGTGGCCCCCATGGCACCTTTGGCTTTGTCATCTCCAGAGTGGACATGCTTGGCTCCTTCCTCCTTGGTAAGTGGAGGAGGGTACCAAGCCCAGGCTTTCTCAGAGAGTGGGAGGAGTAAGGGGCATGGCTGCATTCTTCCACTAAGAAATGGGAAGCTGGGTCCCCCACCTATGGCCCCTGAGAAACTTTTCAGTCCTGTGTTGGTGTTCAGGAGGTGAGAGTCTGGCAGGGACCACAGAAGACCTTGTCCTTGGGGAGGTAAGGGCCCCAGAAGGGCTGAAACTCCTAAAAGGGAATCGAGACAGGATATGGTCAATAGGTGAGTATGTGTACATCCCCAGACAAGCCAAGGTCCCACAGCTTTCCTTCTCCAAATTCTCCCAGGACCACCTGTATCCCAGCCCTGGCTGCAAAGGCATCATCGGACTACAGGACTGGAACACTCTGTCCCTCATGACCCCCACATCCATCCCCATATTCCAAATCCAGTGGTCTGCCTGGCAGAGGGGGATGTGATTCTTTTCCAGCTTCATATTCTTCCCCACAGTAAGTTTCCTACTTCAGTACATTGGACCCTTCCTCTGGCCTGACTCTCTCATCCCTCCCCTGCCTGGCTGTCCTGTGACTTCACATACTGACCACACCTTTGAAGTGGCAAGTCACAGGCCTGTGTTGTGCCCCTATTCTCAACCTGATTGGTCACTTCACTGTGGGCTTCCATGCACTTTCTCAGAGCAGATGTTCCAGTCCAACATTCTGCAGCTCCTCCCTGCAGCCCATGAGGGTCAGAGTTCTATGCCTTGGGTGGAGGCAGGGACTCACTTAGGGGACCTCTTGTTTGAGCCAGTCCTCCTGCATGTCCACTCTGTACCACATGGTCATCAATCCAGGGCCTGAAGCACCCCAGAGGCAGACTACTCAACCCCTCCTGGCAGCCCCCTACATCTTCAGATACCTTGGTTTATAAGGATTGTCTTCCTTGCGATGAGAAGAAGCCTGTCTCCTGTGACTCCCATCCCTGGGAACCTCAACAAGACAGTTTTCCTCCATGAGACAGCATTTACTGATAGAAGAGGGTCTCATCCCCTTTGGGCTCAGTGCCACCTTCCATGCATTGAGCACAGCTTGGGCCCTTGGTAGACCTTAATTTCCTCCATTTCCCCTGCCAGGTACTTCCCTAGGGTGCTGCTGTGGAGTGGATGGGCAGTCCCCACACACCCAACCCACCTACTCACACACAGATGACAGATGTACAGTGCTGTCCCACTAAGATGCTCCAGGACACTAAATGGCTGGGCTGAGACAGGGATAGTTCTGCAGCTCTAAAGACATGAGAGAGGCAAGAGAGAAGCCAGCCCTGGGCTGGCTTTTTTTTATCTTCTCCAACAGATTTCTTTTTTAAAGGAATGGATTTTGAGGAGAAAAAAACAAAGGCAGAGAGGTATGGAATAGAAAATAAAGGCAAATATAAACTGTTCTGCTAATTGTTTTATAACCACAACAAATTAGTACAGATAATGCTGTGTACAAACAACACAATAAAGGTTCAAAGATTAAGGTGCTCCCTCAGGCAATGCTGAAAATAGTGGTCTCTGGTATTTGGAATTTATGCTTCACTGGGCGTGAGGCACAGCCATGCTTTTAACCTGATTTAAACAGAAGAATGGCCCCTTGGCCCAGGTAGAAATAGTTGAAGAGTTTGGTTTCATGGGTCACCTAACTACTGAAGTTCCTCCCCACATAGCAGTGCTAAGGCGATGAGCATCCAAGGGGGAAATAAATCCTGGAAATGAACTCTAAACATTTATGCACTGGTTTCCAGGCCAGGTTTCCTGTAAACCCACTGGGACCTGGGAAACCTCCATTCCCTCTAAGCCTTGGTATTTACATGTGTGGAGTGAACCCAGTTGCATTCCCCCTTCTCCACACAGCGGGGAGGTGAGATCAGAGTCCCATCTTTTGGGAGGAATGGGAGTGCTCAGAAGAACTGACACCTGTGCATGGGAAAGACCTCCTGTGCTGAAGGAATGGCCTGGCTGGGCCTGTCTGTATTTCTGCCAGACTTCCCATCCACCACCTTAGCTGCTCCTTCTCTTAGTCATCCCACACAGCATGTATTGAGTGCCTGTTGTGTGCACACTGCCTGTCAGGGGTACAGAATTGAAAGGGTCTCGCCTCTGAGAGTGCCAGGGCTGCCAGCTGTGCTCTTGCACAAAGGGCATGGGGGTGTGGGGGCCCCTGTTCATTGTGTTTCAACAATGTGCCGGTGCGCTCATTTCTTAGGCCAGAGGGAGAAAGGGTCTTGCCCTGACACTAAGATTTTTTTTTTTAAGATTTTATTTATTTATTTGACAGACAGAGATCACAAGTAGGCAGAGAGGCAAGCAGAGAGAGAGAGGGGGAAGCAGGCTCCCCGCTGAGCAGAGAGCCCGATGCGGGGCTCGATCCCAGGACCCTCGGATCATGACCTGAGCTGAAGGCAGAGGCTTTAACCCACTGAGCCACCCAGGTGCCCTGACACCAAGATTATTAAATGATTATTATCATAGACATGAAAGGATGAAAAATGCCATTTCGTTGAAAACATATCTTCTCAGTTTGCTCACTCTCCCACGGACAGAAGCTGAGCTGTCAGGATGTGAGCTGCCCAGGCCTGGGACTGAGGAGGCCCCTGGAACACAGCCCCACCCTGCTCTTTCTCCAGATCGCTCAGCCAGCCACTATCCTGTGTACCAGGTGCAGCATCTGTTTAACAGCAACCCCCACTGGGACTTTGGGGCCTTCAGGAGACTCAGGCACTTGGTACAAGAGACTCACCTCAACTTCTCAAGGTAATCTCAGCTAAGCTGTCTGGGAACTTGGAGGGGCCATGGTTCCTCATGTGTAAGACAGAGCTGGGGAGGCACTACGAGGACCAGAGGAGGATGGGAAGCCACCAACAGTGTGGGAGGTTAAGGCCAGCAGAGACCAATGGCAGGTGAGTCCTCCTGAGTACGTGGAGGGGAAGGGTTTGGGAGTCATGGACAGCTTCCTTGGGCCACATTATTCCTGTGCGTGGGAAGGGGTCCTGCCACAGGTTAAGGTCACTCACATTTAACCTGATATGAACAACCCAGAAAAGCTGACTATCCCCATATTCTGACCCTTCATCCCCCAGGTTTGCCCACCAGTTCCTAGATCCAGGTACATATGTGTTTCGAGACAATTTCTGTATTTGGAGAGGGCACGGATTGCATGGAGCACTGGGTGCTCCAAATGCTGCCTGAAAGCTTCATGGTGGTGCTGGTGAAGAAGAAAGGAGTGGCCTGCAGTTCCAGTCTATCCCCTGTACAGCCCTCCTCCCCATATCAGCTTACCAGGCATGGGGTCCTCAGGCAGAGGCTGCCAAGCCTGGGCCCAGACTGGGCAGTGATCACAGGTACTGACCTTGGACCAGAGTAGCCAAGACCCAGAGGGGGCATGGGAGAAGCCTTTCACAGCAGGACCCTGAAGTGTATGGCCAGTCCTGTCTGTTCCTTTGGGCATAGCCCCAAAGACTTCAGATGGGCACAGGGACAAACTTGTCCCTGAACTAGGGCTTCATTTGCCAGGTAAAGTAAATTGAATTTCCTTCTTGGGGTCCCCTTTCTCTCTGCCTCCCAAGCCGCTCAGTTTTGGGACCTGTCCTTATGAACATGGAGGGTGTCATGGTAAACGAGGCCAATGAGTAGAGTCATAGGCTCACAGAGACGCCTATTCTAACCTCCTCTGTGGGTTTTCCATCCATCTTCTTTCCTGCTTATTTTTTTTTGGGGGGGGGGTATATACTGGTATCTCAGTGCAGTTTTTTTAAATCATTTTTTAAATTTATTTTCAGCATAACAGTATTCATTGTTTTTGTACCACACCCAGTGCTCCATGCAATCCGTGCCCTCTCCAATACCCACCACCTGGTTCCCCCAACATCCCACCCCCCACCTCTTCAAACCCTTCAGATTGTTTTTCAGAGTCCATAGTCTCTCATGGTTCACCTCCCCTTCCAATTTCCCCCAAATGCCTTCTCCTAACTCCCCATGTCCTCCATGCTATTTGTTATGCTCCACAAATAAGTGAAACCATATGATAATTGACTTTCTCTGCTTGACTAATTTCACTCAGCATAATCTCTTCCAGTCCCATCCATGTTGCTACAAAAGTTGGGTATTCATCCTTTCTGATGGAGGCATAATGCTCCATAGTGTATATGGACCACATCTTCCTTATCCATTCATCCGTTGAAGGGCATCTTGGTTCTTTCCACAGTTTGGCAACCGTGGCCATTGCTGCTATAAACATTGGGGTACAGATGGCCCTTCTTTTCACTACATCCATATCTTTGGGGTAAATACCCAGTAGTGCAATTGCAGGGTCATAGGGAAGTTCTATTTTTAATTTCTTGAGGAATCTCCACACTGTTCTCCAAAGAGGCTGCACCAACTTGCATCCCCTCCAACACATGTTGTTTCCTGTCTTGCTAATTTTGGCCATTCTAAGTGGTGTAAGGTGGTATCTCAATGTGGTTTTGATTTGAATCTCCCTGATGGCTAGTAATGAACATTTTTTCATGTATCTGATAGCCATTTGTATGTCTTCATTGGAGAAGTGTCTGTTCATATCTTCTGCCCATTTTTTGGTATGATTATTGTTTTGTGTGTGTTGAGTTTGAGGAGTTCTTTACAGATCCTGGATATCAATCTTTTGCCTGTACTGTCATTTGCAAATATCTTCTCCCATTCCGTGGGTTGCCTCTTGGTTTTCTTGACTGTTTCCTTTGCTGTGCAGAAGCTTTTGATTTTGATGAAGTCCCAAAAGTTCATTTTCACTTTTGTTTCCTTTGCCTTTGGAGACATATCTTGAAAGAAGTTGCTGTGGCTGATATCGAAGAGATTACTGCCTATGTTCTCCTCTAGGATTCTGATGGATTCCTGTCTCACGTTGAGGTCTTTTATCCATTTTGAGTTTATCTTTGTGTATGGTGTAAGAGAATGGTCGAGTTTCTTTCTTCTACATATAGCTACCCAGTTTTCCCAGCACCATTTATTGAAGAGAATGTCTTTTTTCCACTGTATATTTTTTTCTGTTTTGTCGAAGATTAACTGACCATAGAGTTGAGGGTCCATATCTGAGCTCTCTACTCTGTTCCACTGGTCTATGTGTCTTTTTTTATGCCAGTACCATGCTGTCTTGGTGATCACAGTGTTGTAGTAAAGCTTGAAATCAGGTAACGTGATGCCCCCAGTTTTATTTTTGTTTTTCAACATTTCCTTAGCGATTCGGGGTCTCTTCTGATTCCATACAAATTTTTGGATTATTTGCTCCAGCTCTTTGAAGAATACCCGTGGAATTTTGGTTGGAATGGCATTAAAAGTATAGATTGCTCTAGGCAGTATAGACATTTTAACAATGTTTATTCTTCCAATCCAAGAGCATGGAATGGTCTTCCATCTTTTTGTGTCTTCTTCAATTTCTTTCATGAGTGTTCTGTAGTTCCTCGAGTACAGATCCTTTACCTCTTTGGTTAGGTTGATTCCCAGGTATCTTATGCTTCTTGGTGCTAGAGTAAATGGAATCGATTCTCTAATTTCCCTTTCTGTATTTTCATTGTTAGTGTATAAGAAAGCCACTGATTTCTGTACATTGACTTTGTATCCTGCCACGTTGCAGAATTGTATGAGTTCTAGTAGTTTGGGGGTGGAGTCTTTTGGGTTTTCCATATAAAGAATCATGTCATCTGCGAAGAGAGAGAGTTTGACTTCTTCATTGCCAATTTGGATACCTTTTATTTCTCTTTGTTGTCTGATTCCTGTTGCTAGGACTTCTAATACTATGTTGAACAAGAGTGGTGAGAGTGGGCATCCTTGTCGTGTTCCTGATCTCAACGGGAAGGCTGCAAGCTTTTTCCCATTGAGGATGATATTTGCTGTGGGTCTTCCATAGATAGATTTGATGAAGTTCAGGAATGTTCCCTCTATCCCTATACTTTGAAGCGTTTTAATCAGGAACGGATGCTGGATTGTGTCAAATGCTTTTTCTGCATCAATTGAGAGCACCATGTGGTTCTTCTCTCTTTTCTTATTAATTTGTTCTATCACATTGATTGATTTGCGAATGTTGAACCATCCTTGTAGCCCAGGAATGAATCCCACCTGGTCATGGTGGATAATCTTTTTAATGTACTGTTGGATCCCGTTTGCTAGGATCTTGTTGAGAATCTTAGCATCCATATGCATCAGTGATATTGGTCTGCAATTCTCCTTTTTGGTAGGGTCTTTGCCTGGTTTGGGGATCAGGGTAATGCTGGCTTCATAGAAAGAGTCTGGAAGTTTTCCTTCTGCTTCAATTTTTTGAAACAGCTTCAGGAGAATAGGTGTTATTTCTTCTTTGAAAGTTTGGTAGAATTCCCCAGGGAATCCGTCAGGTCCTGGGCTCTTGTTTTTTGATCACTGCTTCAATCTCGTTACTAGATATTGGTCTATTTAGGTTGTCGATTTCTTCCTGGTTCAATTTTGGGAGTTTACAGTTTTCCAGGAAGGCATCCATTTCATCTAGGTTGCTTAGCTTATTGGAATATAACTGTTGATAATAACTTCTGACGATTGTTTCTACTTCCTTGATGTTAGTTGTGATCTCTCCCTTTTCATTCATAATTTTATTAATTTGGGCTTTCTCTCTTTTCTTTTGGATTAGTGTGACCAATGGTTTATCGATCTTATTGATTCTTTCAAAAAACCAGCTTCTAGTTTCATTGATACGTTCTACTGTATCTCTGGTTTCTACCTCATTGATCTCAGTTCTAATCTTGATTATTTCCCTTCTTATGTGTGGAGTTGGTTTGATTTGTTGTTGATTCTCCAGTTTTAGGGTGTAGAGAGAGCTGGTGTATTCTGGATTTTTCAATTTTTTTGAGGGAGGCTTGGATGGCTATGTATTTCCCCCTTAGGACCGCCTTTGCTCTATCCCATAGGTTTTGGACCGAAGTGTCTTCATTCTCATTGGTTTCCATGAATTCAGTTCTTCTTTGATCTCCTGGTTGATCCAAGCATTCTTAAGCAAGGTGGTCTTTATCTTCCAGGTGTTTGAGTTCCTTCTGAACTTCTCCTTGTGATTGAGCTCCAGTTTCAAAGCATTGTGATCTGACAATATGCAGGGAATAATCTCAATCTTTTGGTATCGGTTGAGTCCTGATGTGTGACCCAGTACGTGGTCTATTCTTGAGAAGGTTCCATGTGCACTTGAGAAGAATGAGTATTCTGTTGTTTTAGGGTGGAATGTTCTGTATATATCTATGAGGTCCATCTGGTCCAATGTATCATTCAATGCTCTTGTTTCTTAATTGATTTTCTGCTTCGATGATCTGTCTATTTCTGAGAGAGGCGTGTTAAGATCTCCTACTATTAATGTATTCATATCAATATGACTCTTTATCTTGATTAACAGTTTTCTTATATAATTGGCTGCTATTGGGGACATAGATATTTACAATTGTTAGATCATCTTGGTAGATAGTCCCTTTAAGAATGAGGTAGTGTCTTTCTGTATCTCTGACTACAGTTTTTAGTTTAAAATCTAATTTATCTGATATGAGAATCGCTACCCCAGCCTTTTGAGGCCCATTGGCATGAAAGATGCTTCTCCATCCCTTTACTTTCAGTCTGGGTGTATCTTTAGGTTCAAAATGGGTCTCTTGTAGACAACATATGGATGGGTCCTGTCGTTTTATCCAATCTGCAACCCTGTGCCGTTTTATGGGCGCATTTAGGCCATTCACATTGAGAGTGATTATTGATAGATACGTTTTTATTGACATTGTGTTACCTTTGAAGTCTTTCTTTCTGTAGATTGTCTCTATATTTCTGTTCAATGCTATTCTTAGGATTTTTCCTCTTTTATAGAACCCCCCTTAATATTTCCTGCAGTGTCAGCTTGGCGGTTGCATAGTCTTTTAAGCCTTGGCGGTCTTGGAAACTCTTTACCTCTCCATCCATTTTGAATGTCAGTCTTGCTGGATAAAGTATTCTTGGCTGCATGTTCTTCTCATTTAGTGCCCTGAATATATCTTGCCAGCCCTTTCTGGCTTGCCAGGTCTCTGTGGACAGGTCTGACATTATTCTGATGGGCTTTCCTCTGTAAAGAAGGAGCCTCTTTGTCCTAGCGTCTTTCAAGAGATTATACCTACAATTATGATTCCTCAATTTGACTATCAGGTGCCTTGATGTTTTTCTGGAATCTATAATCTTGGGTGGAGACTGTTCGACCTCTAGTACATGAACGCTGGTTCCATTCACGAGATTGGGAAAATTTTCATGAAGAACTTGTTCCACTATATCTTCTAGACTTCTTTCTTTCTTCTCCCCTTCAGGGATTCCAATGATTCTGACGTTGGAACATTTCATGGCGTCATTTATTTCCCTGATTCTGTTTTCATGGTTTCTAAGCTGTTTGTTCCAGGCTTCCTCTTGATCCTTTCTCTCTATCTGTTTGTCCTCCAGATCACTAATTCTATCTTCTGTCTCAGTTACCCTAGCTTTGGGAGAATTTAGATTAGATTGGAACTCATTGAGAGCATTGTGAACCTCAGCCCTGGTAGCTTTTAGCTCTGCCCTAACATTGTGAACATCTTGTCTGGTCGCTTTCAGCTCAGCCCTAATCAATTCCGTTTGTTCATCCATGGCTTTCTCCAACCTAGCTATCGCCTGGATAATTGTTAGCCTGAATTCTCTTTCCGACATATTGTCTATGTTGATAGCCATTAGCTCTGTTGC